TTAATTAATAGCCTTATCTTTTACAAACAGGTAACACCCCACAGGTTAAATGATTAATCTACACACCACATACGTTCCTAACTTTCATTTTTTGTAACCTGTTATGCCCCTGTTCTTACTTTAACCAGCTCTTTTCCATAGCCATATAATTTTAAACTCATGGAGACTCAGAAATGCACTCTAATATACACAGACTGGGGGATGCAAAGTGTCATAACAACTTTTGTAGGCTGAAAGGGTTAATTACTACAGACATGCAGAGTATGTGTACAAAAATATTGTAAATAATTATAGCAACATATCAACACACATATAAATTCAGAGACTATCATACTTTCAATCACCAACAAGTACAAATATGTATACAACACAAATGGTGGACTGTATACTAGATTTCCAAAAACATATAATATTAACATAATATTAGAGCAAATTATTGTAGGATAATAAATTAGTCAGTGTATGTAAAGATAAATGTAGGATTATAAAAATAAAATACTTATATAAATGTATGCTGATCTTAAAATAAATAAATGTGTATACTTCTACACTGAATTAGCCTAGTAAATTATGCAATTAGGCTCTGCCAATAACCTGCAAAAGTAGGTTTACACACTACCCAGTTCCTTATCAATGTATGCCATTAGATACAACCTAGTCTCCGCTAAATATAGGTCATTACACACTACCTAGTACTTTTTCAATGTAAGCCATTAGATACAACCTAGTCTCTGCTAAATGTAGGTCATTACACACTACCTAGTACCTTATCAATGTATGCCATTAGATACAACCTAGTCTCTGCTAAATGTAGGTCATTACACACTAATGTAAGCCATTAGATACAACCTAGTCTCTGGTAAATATAGGTCATTACACACTAATGTATGCCATTAGATACAACCTAGTCTCTGGTAAATATAGGTCATTACACAATACCCAGTACCTTATCAATGTATGCCATTAGATACAACCTAGTCTCTGCTAAATATAGGTCATTACACAATACCCAGTTCCTTATCAATGTATGCCATTAGATACCACCTAGTCTCTGCTAAATGTAAGTCATTACACACTAATGTAAGCCATTAGATACAACCTAGTCTCTGCTAAATGTAGGTCATTTCACACTACCCAGTTCCTTATCAATGTAAGCTATTACATATATCTTAGTTTTCTGTAATGTTAAGCATTACACTTTATCTAGTCTCCTGTCAAAATGTTGCATGGAAAACCAAACTATCTTCATCTCTTTATTTTTTTCCCCATCGTATGCTACCACTTCTTATGTAAACAATGACATAACGCTACTTCTCTGAAAACTGAAGCAATTATGTTTTACCTAGTCCTCACTAAACTTACTTATATATTACCAAGTCTTTGTAAATGTTATCAAGTTTATTTAAACATCTACAAGAATAAGCAATTACTACTGCCTGGCCACATCCAAATAAAAGCAATTACATATTGCCATCTGGCAATGTGAGCCAGCTGTAAATGTAAGCAGCTGCATTCTACAGTGTCACCTGTAACATCAAGAGGATACACACTACCTACTCAAATTTATAAACAAGCAAGTAAGTACAGCGGTCACAATACCAAAACAAGCAACTGTACATTATCATAATATAAACTTTTACAAGAAAGGACTTACATAACAATAGGTTTTCATTGATGAAACATCAAACAACAGTACATCAATTTGTACAATCCAACATTCTGTTTTTGCAACCATACTTGCTCTATAATACTTTCTTCAGTTTTCTGGCCCACAATCATTTTTGTCAGAAGTGAAATTCCCTGCAGTCCAAGCATGCACAGCCGGACATTGCCTACAAAGTGCACATCCAGGAAAGCACACAGCAGGCAAACTAGATGAAAGAACTCACCAGCCTAAAGATGAGATTATTTACCAGCCTCAAGATGACATTAGTTACCGAACTCAAGATGTGATTTTTTTTCACCTCAAGATGAATGAATTCATCAGCCTCAACAGAAACAAGCACAGAGAATCAATAAGATCATCCACAACTAGCATTTTAATCTACTGACGCACATACACACACATACACATTCAATGGTAGTTAATAACAACAGATTTTACTAGCAAACTGAAGAAACATAAATGCTATAGAACAGTTGTGGCCATAAATTAATAGAGCATCACATACATAAATAAAGACAACTACAGTAAATAAGTATTTATCTCAGCTGCAACTTCAATAGAGTAAACTTGACTGTGATGGTCCGTAGTAATGTGATTAATCTAAATAAGTTGTTGGAGTTCCAGCTTCGCTGCAGACATGGCTTCCCATGACTGCTTCCTTCTTGTTCCAGTGGATATCACACAAAATTTCCCTCACTGTCCCAACAAACTAGTGAAAAGCAGATGTGTTCCAGCAAAATCTTGAAGCTCGCACATACAAAGTAAATCATAAGTCAGCCTTCAAATGTGCCAACACTAACCTTTCCTTGTCAGAATTGCAGTTCACTGTTAATACAAGCAGTCAGTCACGAAAGTCGGCACAGGACAAGCAATACTAAATAAGTACAGGCCATTCTGACTTTAATCAGCAACTCATCACTTTTAGTGAAGTTCACCACACAAAGCCACCACTGTCACAACAACAAAAACCCATTTCAGATTAAATCCATTGCTCATAGTGTTGCACCAACTCAGTAGTTTTGGTGACAGAATCTAAGTCTAAATATGGTTTGATGTACGAGTAGCAACTATGGTTCCAAAGACACTGGTTGGTATTGCTGAGGGGGTCAGGACTGACAAAAATCAGTTTCATTTTCATGACAGGGCACACAGGTCTGCAAGGAAATGATCAAGCTGATAGGTTTGCAGGGCAGGCTACTGTGAAGGGCAGATGAGCTAATAATCAGGCTGGTATACTGAACGCTCAAAGAGAAGTAATCCTTTGCAAGAATAAAATGGTGGTGAATCTGTAACCATGACCACACTGCAGGAACAGTAAGATGAAAGGGGTGTTGCCACCAGACAACAGCACAATACAGGAAGCCAAAGATGAAAAAGAAACCAACAAAGGACAGGTGTTGTCAGCATGCTGCGAGATGTACTGGGGGTGAAGATCTGAGAACTTGTTGACTCAATGAATGAATGAATTAAGAATTGATATAACTGCACTTGGGACATTCCTACACATGCTCTGTTCCCTTCTTCAATAGCTAATGGAGAGCCAAAAATGCAACCTGATTCAAAGTAAACTTATGGACTGAATGGTTTTATGTTTAATGAGGATAATCTTCTAACTAACAAACTAACTGCATAGTGCTAGCTCAGTAATCTTTCTCAGTAACCAAGGAAAGTTAAGAGATCAGTCTCTCTGTCTGAACTCCCAAAACAGTATCAAACAGTTATGGTCCAGGAAAATGGAGAAAATAACAAGAAAGGCTGTACTGTGTCAACAGGAATATGGTGATCAGACTGGCTGTGAGTGAAGTCAAGTAGAGAAAAACCTGTGACTGCCTTACACATATTCAGTATGTGTGATCATCCACAAGTGGTTGTGGCTAATTAAAAAACAAGAGGAGACAACTGGATTGTTTTATTTTCAAGTAGGCACCTTGCAGACATGGTTTTGATTATTCCAATAAAAACAATCAATTTTGAACATACTAATTAAAACAAATAATTGGGACATTCTACTTATCCTACTTTTAAATGTTCTTATTAAAATAGTCAATTTTGGATGTTCTAATTAAAAAGTTGGGACCTCTAAAAAAACAAAACAATATTTTACTTAAGTAAGTTTGACGTAATTTTGTAAACACATAGTTAAAATAATTGTATGCACTTTAAAAAGAAAGTACACTATTATGCTTATATTTACATCTCTCAGTGACAGAAATATGTGACCATAACATGGACCATATGTAAATGTGACAACATCATATACACATACAATCCCAAATATTTCCTAACATTATTTTGATCATTGTGTAACTCTGATAACGTTTGAAGCTAAAGACTAGTTAACTGTTTTGTCAGTTGTCTTGTAAAAATAATTTGCCTTCAATCACTTGATAACAAATTGAACCTCAATTTATCTGGTTACAAACTAGAAATGTTCCAAACAAATCAATTGTTTATCTCAATTATCTTGTACAGATTGAACCTCAATATTATGGCAGAAAACTGATACACACACATATATAAATAAAACAATTAAAAAAACAAAAAACTGACATAATTGCACTCAGGACATTCCCATAAATGCTATGTCCCCTTCTCGAGTAGCCTTGAAAAGATGACATGTTAACAGTCGTTCAGTGTATGGATTCCCGACTTTTTCTATTGTACTGTTTATTTGATCCCACAGAGCTTCACCTCATCTGCTTTATCATAAAGTAGCTCACCACCCAGCATAGCTGCAGCAGTTATTCTATCAACCTGGTCATTACATTGCACACCTGAATATCCTAGACAGAAAATCCATGGTATCCTCCTGATCGGAGTCTTATCAAGTGATGCAAGTCACTCTGTGGATAGGACATCGATTTCAATTTTCCAAAGCATGCTCTGTAAGTATCACACCCATGTAATATCAACCCTATCCTTCAGCCATGTAGTGACAACCTCATGTCTGAATCATGAAATATGAACCCATTTCCTCTGTCTTTTATGCCAACCATGTCAATCTTTCCAGGAGGGACTGTGATAAACATTCTGTGTGTTTTTCATTGGCACAGGAGTGGAGCAACTATGGGTTGACCCATTTGCAATGAAGCTGAAACTAAGATTACCAGATGCCAACTTGATGCCTCCAGCTTCTAGAAGCAACTGAATGTCCACACATCTTTCTTTAAAGTACACAATGTAATCTTACCGGAAGCTACATCACAAAAACACAGAGCAAGGTTGAGGAAAACCACAACCTCAGCAAAAATGAAACAAACTGAAACCTTATCACATTACTAATGAAAATTCAAAAACATGTTCTCACAAATATGACTCAGTCAAGAACAAAATGTTAAACTATAGAAGATGCATTTGTTCCCTCATTTGGCTTTTCTCCGCGCCCATACTGGCCGATAAATGAGCCGTCTTCATTAAATTTGCTGGCATCATCATCCCCATAGTCTAAACTATCAGCATCTTCATCCAGTGGCACTTTTTCAACATCACGGTCAAATGAGTTGCTTCCCTTGACCCCATTTTCATCTCTGTTGAAGCAAAAATAAATGATTTCAGTTGAATGTCTATCAAAAACCATCTATCTAGTTAAATATCTATTAAATACCATGTATCTAATTCAATAACTTTGAGATTCTGCTATGTAGTTCAATAGCTATAAATAAGGACCCTTTTTATACCAGTGGTACATCGGGCATAGTCATTATTGTCTGCTGTGCCAATATCTGTCACCTAGGGCTCGCTGTTTGTTCATCCAGTCTGTTCTATCCTTGACTCCCAGGTCGACCCAGCCTTGAGTGGGTCCCGGATGCAGTCCTGAGAAGTAAAGGTGGTCAGCGTGATGCTGACCACATTACCCATCTTGTGCCGATTGGTCTATAAAAATATAGGTCTAGCCCTGTATGCCCTATACACCTAAAGGCGTGGAAAAGGGACTTGTACTTTTTTTTTTACACTGTTCTATCGTGTGCAACCACTCTGAAATCATGGCTGGAATCTAGTCCAGCATCTTTGCCCTCTCTCATCAGGGTCTTGCTTCCTCAATCCTCTGATTTCCAATTTCAGTGCCTGTTTGGTGATTTTCTGCATGCTTTTTATCAGAATGTGTCCAGTACAGCACCATCTTCTTTGTCTTATAACTCTTGCTACCCATGGATGCCTCAGACATTTCTTTTACTTCTTCACTCCTCTTGAATTCATCCCATTTTGTGTTGAACATTTTCCCCTACTTTCATTCCATGTCTGTAGTGGTTCTCTAACTTTCACTGGCATATGTTAAAAGTGAAATAAAATTAGAATTGAAAATATTGAAACTTGGTTTTAAAACTATACAATTTAGAGTTACATATTTTATTCAGGCTTCGGACATTTAGGGCAAAATCTATAGTCTTATCCATCAATTGACACTCTATGAATGATACGGCTCAACATCATACCAGCTGCCTTTGTCTACCCAGGATATTACCTGGTACTCAGTGTAGGCTAGGTTATCCTAGGATTAAAGGTCAATTATGAAAAATATCTCAATGTATATTTAACCATTGATCTTCGGGCAGACATTTGAACTGTCTAGCCGCTCAGCTATCACAGTTCCTACAATTGTAGCATTAAAAATCATACATAAATAAAATGGGAGCAGCCCAGAAGGCAGACCAAGAAGATAGTGGAGAGATGATATACATACAGACCTACATATACTTGGAGTCACAAGTGTAAGAAGGGGGCCAGTCACAGAGACGAAAGGGGTGGGTGATATCTGCAGCAGTTAACCTTACATTCTTAAAATGCTGAAGGAAAATGAAGTTGACATTCATGCTCAAGGTCAAGACAGTCAATGTTCTTCTGCTTCTCCTTCTTAGCATTCACAAGCTGTAAACTCTTGTGGAAAGTTCTGGCTGTTCATCCACTTCTGGACTTAAGTCTTGCTCCAAAAATTGAGTTTTACATGTACCTCCATTTGACAGATCTGGCATATTTATATGCAGACTCACGCAGATGCACTCCAGTTTTGGAATAAACAACCCTGAACTCCCCTTTTGCACCACACTTGTTAGGGAACAGTGAGCCTATCCTTATTGACCACAAAATGGAAACCCAGGAACTTACACGGGGAAATCATCATTTTTCAAACTTACCCTTTGCCGAACCCATTGAATTGGTCAGGGTTATCGTCATTGTAGGCTCCTCTAAGTCTCTCCTTCTCTTGCACTGTGAACATATTTGGAACAATTAAACAAGGTGTCTGAATATACGGTGCCTATTGTTGTCATTAAAGGTGTGCTGCCTTTCTATTACCATAGCCGTGGTAGTGTAGTTCAGATCTAAATCAAAGGTAGTTCTTTAAAAATAATTATCCTTGGCTCCCAGGCAGACCCAGCCTAAAATGGTTGCCAGGAAATGTCCTGGGAAGTGGAGGCAGCCGCCATGATGTTGATCACACTGCCCACTGAGTTTCATTTAGTCTGTAAAAATAAAGGTCTAGCCCTATATGCCCCATGCAGGATAGGCATGAAAAATGTCCTTTAGTTGACTTACTTAACACACCACCGCAGTACACAGTTACCCAGGTATCGTCATTATCATCATCCCATAACACTGCATGTCACTCGCTGGGTCACCAGTTGCTGTTAACAGTCTGATCAGCCCCCTCCACCTTTAACATTTAGATACAGTTGACTTCATGGCTGCATGCCTAAGGCCTTTCATGTCAATCAAGTTCTGCCTCCAGGTCTTTCTTGGTCTGTCTCTTCTCCTCTCTCCCTTTTCTAAGCCATGTAGTTTTGTTTCTAAGAGGCCGTTATATCTGATTAAATTTCCACCTTTTAACTGTAGTTTAAAGAGGTGAATAGTTGCCAATGTACAAGGTAAGTATATACAGCGAACCTTGTTGTTTGTGATGTGCTCTCTGAATGACTGTCTGATATGTCAAGAATTTTTATGAAGATTGCATTTCCAACGCTTTCATCTTCTGTTTTTTTAATTCAGCTGTTAATGCCCATGTTTCACAGCTGTATGTAAACATACTATAGCCAGTACTCTGAGCAGTCAAAGCTTAGTTTTACATGAAATATTTTTGGATCTCCATAATATTTGCTGTTTGGCAAGGACTGATATGTCTGGGCAAACCTAAACATGACTTCTGGTCTTGTCCCTAGGTCAATTAAAATGGTTCATTAATATTTAAAAGGAAGAAAACTCTTTTTTTATACCCAGGTTTACATTTTTCTGACCTTAGGCTGTTTAAGAATTGTGGAGAGACGTGGAACTTGGTGTCACCAACTGGAAAGAGAAGGACAACCAGAGAAATGAGTGGAGGCGGGTGATATCTGAAGCAATGTACCTCAAGGACACGGAATGCTTAAGAAGAAGGACAGACATGATCACTCACACCAGTCAGCAAGGACAGATGAGAGGATGTTTATTTTATCATTCTAAATTTCGGTTAGGTTTAAGTTAGTCTCCCCAAACAAAATAGGTTACATTTCATTCACAGGTTTGTTGGGCTGGTCAACTTTCCTGCAGGCTATGGGTGTGCAGCTCTGTTGTTCGCTTTCTATGTTGTCTTGCATTTACGTTTTTATTCCGAGAAAGAGAATGCCTACAACATAGCTGGCAGCATCTCTAGGGGGTTTTTGTTAGATCCAGTTTGTCCATGTTTTTGGAGTGTTAAAAGCACTGGCATGCTGAAATATACAACACGCGATATCAACGGCATTGCGGAAAACCCATGTAACCTTGTGCCAAGGTCACATGGCTCAAGGTCTACCAATCAGAAGGGAGCTAGTGTGTATATGGGTGGGATTTTGGAAGCGAAAAATTATTTTACTCAAATTTCAAGTCCTGCGATGACAACACTGTTGTTGCTCAACAGAAAACTCTTAATTCTAAGTGAATGAGGTATACATACCTGGGTAATTATCTCCCCTATTTCGCTTGATGATGCAGATGATAATCAGAATGAGAATCAGGACAGCAATGGCCACCATCATGCCAATAAACCAGGCTGCAGTCAGGAAACTGGCTCGAGCAGCACCTGTGAAATATAATGGAAGAAATGGAACATAGTCAAGACAATTCAACCACATTCTCATGCTTTCTGTCAGATCAGGACAATATAATGGATTTTCTGTTGATATTTAGGTGTGCGGGAAAATGAGCAGGTTGATAGATTGGTTGCTGCTCCTCTGTGTGGTCAACTACTTTATGAAAAAGTGGATGTGGTGTCAGATGTGAGGTCATGCATTTTCTGTCAAGGACATTTGGGTGAGCGGGGTAACTGCCAGGCTGATAGACTGGCTGCTACTGCTCCTCTGGGTGGTGATGTACTTAATGATAAAGTGAACATAGTAAATATGGAGGTATAGTGAGCAGTGAACCACCAAACAGCCTCAGATAGGAAACTAATGAAATGAGGAAACAAGAATGCCCAAAAGAAACTCTAAGATGAATGCTGTGGAGGGGTCACAGGTATTGGATTGGACTCTATCCATGATGTTAAAACAAAAGCACAAAATAGCATGGAATAGAAGATCAATTTATGAGCCCTTTCTGATGTATAATGCAAAAACATGATGATGAAGAAAGACACCTTAGTAAGGTCATCATTCAGCTGTGAGGTTGGGAGCTTTCAGTTTATTGTCACATCATCATCTGTGAGGTTGGGAGCTTTCTGTTCCTTGTCACATCATCATCTGTGAGGTTGGGAGCTTTCTGCTCCTTGTCACATCATCATCTGTGAGGTTGGGAGCTTTCAGTTTATTGTCACATCATCATCTGTGAGGTTGGGAGCTTTCTGTTCCTTGTCACATCATCATCTGTGAGGTTGGGAGCTTTCTGCTCCTTGTCACATCATCATCTGTGAGGTTGGGAGCTTTCTGCTCATTGTCACATCATCATCTGTGAGGTTGGGAGCTTTCTGTATCTGTGATGCTGGGAGATTTGTCATTGTCACATCATCATCTGTGAGGTTGGGAGCTTTCTGTTCATTGTCACATTATCATCTGTAAGGTTGGGAACTTTCTGTCCATTGTCACATCATCATCTGTGAGGCTGGGAGCTTTCTGTTCATTGTCACATCATCATCTGTGAGGTTGGGAGCTTTCTGTCATTGTCACATCATCATCTGTAAGGTTGGGAGCTTTCTGTTCATTGTCACATCATCATCTGTGAGGTTGGGGGCTTTCTGTCATTGTCACATCATCATCTGTGAGGTTAAGAAGCTTTCTGTTCATTGTCACATCATCATCTGTGAGGTTGGGAGCTTTCTGTTCATTGTCACATCATCATCTGTAAGGTTGGGAGCTTTTTGTTCATTGTCACATTATCATCTGTGATGCTGGGAGGTTTCTGTTCATTGTCACATCATCATCTGTGATGCTGAGAGCTTTCTGTTCATTGTCACATCATCATCTGTGATGCTGGGAGCTTTCTGTTCATTGTCACATCATCATCTGTGAGGTTGGGAGCTTTCTGTCATTGTCACATCATCATCTGTAAGGTTGGGAGCTTTCTGTTCATTGTCACATCATCATCTGTGAGGTTGGGGGCTTTCTGTCATTGTCACATCATCATCTGTGAGGTTAAGAAGCTTTCTGTTCATTGTCACATCATCATCTGTGAGGTTGGGAGCTTTCTGTTCATTGTCACATCATCATCTGTAAGGTTGGGAGCTTTTTGTTCATTGTCACATCATCATCTGTGATGCTGGGAGGTTTCTGTTCATTGTCACATCATCATCTGTGATGCTGAGAGCTTTCTGTTCATTGTCACATCATCATCTGTGATGCTGGGAGCTTTCTGTTCATTGTCACATCATCATCTGTAAGGTTGGGAGCTTTCTGTTCATTGTCACATCATCATCTGTAAGTTTGGGGGCTTTCTGTATCTGTCATGCTGGGAGCTTTCTGTTCATTGTCACATCATCATCTGTAAGGTTGGGAGCTTTCAGCTCATTGTCACATCATCATCTGTAATGTTGGGAGCTTTCAGCTCATTGTCACATCATCATCTGTAAGGTCTATCAATGTTGGGAGCTTTCAGCTCATTTTAACATCATCATCTGTGAGGTTTGGAGCTTTCTATTCATTGTCACATCATCAGCTATGAGGCTATGGGGCTTCCAGGTCATTGGAACACCATATTAAGGTGTGAGGCTGTAGACTTTCCGATCATAGGAACATCATGAATTGTGAGGCTAAAGAGTTTACAACATAGAGCACATCATCCAAGAGTCAGATATGACTGAGGAAGCTGCAACAACAAAATTATCAACAGCACAAAGCCAGTGACTTACCAATCCCAGCTGTCATAAAGGCAAACGATTCACTGGGAAATTCATCCCCTTTCTCCTGCGCCATGGCCAGGACTTGAACCTCGTAATGTGTGCCAGGTTCTAGGTGTCTGACCAAGCCCCAGGATCTGTCCTCTATGGGCTCCTCAGAGCGTATCCACTTCTCAGTGTCTGTAGATGGAAACAGTTCATCTCTGTTGCACAAGGTTACTTTATATCTCTCTCTTTAAATCTCACTCACCCTGTTGGATATTTTACTAGATGCTGATATTATGTATGATGTTATATGCTTTACAGATAAAATACAATTGCTGTGCGAAAGATGAGCGATTGGAGGGGCTGAATGTAAGACAGTCCTGTGTGTCGATTTGTGTCTATTTGAAAATAAAATCTATTTATTCCTTCTCAGTCCAGCAAGTAATCTTCATCTGTTCACTTGTTTATCCAAAGGAAGTGTATTGTTATTTTCTACTGTCACATAAAACTTCATAGTAACTTTTTTTTTTTAAATAATGTTTGGCGCAGCTTCATTTTGAAAGTGACAAAATATAGTTAACTGTAATCAAATATTCATAATTTTATTATTTTTATAATTACGACACCCTCATTAGATTTGTGCTGTGGTATTGAAATGGTATTAGTGATGCTAAAGTTTAGCCTGGGGAAGAGGGCCAGACAATAAATGACTGTACAGAGGCATCCTAAACACAGTTCTGGTTTTTATATTAATTTAGCCCATCATAGACAACCATTGAATTAACATTTTCTATCACAGACAATTGTTTCATTAGCATATACTAGCACAGAATTTGTAATGATACATTAACATATTCTAGCAAAGACAATTGTTACATTAACATATTCAAGCAAAGACAATTGTTACACAAACATATTCAAGCACAGATAATTGCTACATGACATAGGCTAGCAAAGTCAACTGTTGCATTCAAATAATTTACTAGAGACAATTGTTACATTCACATATTCTAACACAGACAGTTGTATTTTTTATCCATTATAAATTTTATTCTCAAAGTTTTACCCCAAATGATAAACTGATCATGTATATGAAATAAAATATATCACACAAGAATCTTTGGTGGATATCATACTAAGTTCAGTGTTTCATGTCACAATCCATAAATACATTAATTGTATACTTATTATAAATTATATACTCACTCATTCCTAAAGGCGTGGGAAAGGGTCCTTTACTTTTACTTACTAACTCACTCATTTGTTCATCAAGATTCTAGTACTAATCACGATTTCAGTAAACTCATACACCTCATTCGTGCATCTCAATGCAATACTTTCATCATTGATAAATAAGCAACGTAAGTATGAAAGAATGCAGTTTTATTCTTGCTTTTTCAAAGACAGACGTTAACTGGTCTAATAAACAGTTACTTAAGTATTCTCTAGTCTGTAGTATTCTGGTTATGGCTATGTTTAATCAGTTCTATATGTAATAAGATTGACTTGCCAGAGGCTACGGTCTGAAGCGATCTAATCATTCAACATATTGTGATTTCAGGAAAGCCACCTTGTAGCTGTCAATTATCTTTCCCAGCAAAGAATGTAGCAAATTTTAATTATCATCCCGGATTTAGGCTTTTAAAACATTTTCTGGAATGAGTGGCTCAGAGAGTGCTTTAAAAGAACCACATGGTACAACCAGGGCTGTGTACAGTTCATAGTACCTCAATACAATATATCCTGGTATGAGATCACTACATTAATAGAAATAAAAAGAACTCCACAGTGAGCATATTCAACAGGGGTTCATTAATTATTAGTAGAAAGATCCTTCTTTGGTGATTGTTTCGGCCCATTACCATTCCTATACAATCTCAGAAGGTGGGCCGACCTAGGTCATGACTCCCAGGCCTCAGTCTTCCCCTGCTGCACTGTACCTGATGTTTACGAACAGGGACAAGATGATATGGTGATTTGCAACAGGTGTGAGAATTATTGAATAAGTCGTTGTGGTAGCAAATTAGATCAGTTGACTACCTTACTACCATGGTGACAAGCTTTTGGTTGGTTCATCGGACTTAGCATTTAGACTCTGGCAGTCGACAGAGGGACATTGGCAGACATTTCTGACACTTTGGCTTTTGAGGGCAAAGAACAAGCCATCTGCATATAAATAAGCAAAATCTGTAAAACGGATGTGCATCCAACCCTAAAGTTCAGAAGTGGACAAACAACCAGAATTCTGCTGGAGTTTTCAGCCGGTGGATGCAAAGAAGAAGAAGATATAAGATGTAGAAGATATACAATGTAACAGCTGTCATTCCACTTGCCAGTTGGTCTGTTTACAGCACACTTTATAATATACACAACAATTAGATAACTTACTTTTCTTCCGATACTCTACATAGTAAAATCTGGCATGTCTGCTGCCTTTCTCCTTGGAAACGACTTCCCATGTGACATTAGCTTCATTCTCTCCAGGTGACACGTGCTTGACCACTGGCAAAGCCATGACTGGATAAACAAAGAGGGATAAATGATTTTACTGATGTCCAGACTAAGGAGCAGTTGGTCAAACAGTTAGGAACGCTGGACTATCAGGCAGGAGACCTGGGTTCAAATCATCGGTAAGGTTATAGGGATTTTCTGTCAGAGGCAAAAAATAAAATCCTAGCCTGTACAGTTCATGGCAACAGCACTAGCCATGCTGCCCTCAATCCTCAAAGACACTCCCCCCCCCTCCCCCACCCAAACTATTGAAAGGTCATGTATATTTATAATACTATGCCTTCTGCTAATATTCTTTCCAATATGCTGTGGTGCATGATATGGCCAAAAATTTTTTTTTGGGGATAACATGTTGTTTTCTTGGTCCATGCTATTCTGTTAATCTTTCAATAGCATTTCAGCTCAAGAGCCTGTATTTTCTTCTTTATACACCCTGCTGATAAGCACAGACTCTAATGTTTTTCCACCTTATGTGATAACTAGAATTGCTGATCAGATCAGTGCTCCTGTCCCAGTCCAACCATAAGGCAGGTATTTATCTTTATGCCTTTATCCTCTCTTTCTATCAGTATTGCTAGTTGTTACCCAGTCCTCAAGTCATTCCTTCTCGTGATTGTCCAACAACAACAACAACAAAACAAACAAACAAAATCACTGTCTACATTTAATTTTACTAATTAGTTTACGTCTTTCATCCTCATTGACTAAGATTGCTTTATTTATTTTTCTAACATTCTATGTATATTTGTTGCATTTTTATCAAAAACGAATTTTTGACACAAGTAAACAAAATGAAACGATGCAAAAATGGCAGCAACTTACAAGAGACAGTACTGATAGTTCTCACATCAATGAAGTAGTCTTTGCCGAGACCCTTGGCCGTCTTTGCCCTAATAAAGATTCTATACTGCGTATCAGGTTCCATATCCTTTAAGGTCACCCGATCATTTTCAGGGTCCAGGTCATCAAAGGCAATAACTTCAGGCCCAAAGTCGATTCTGTTTACTGAAAGAATAGAAAGGAATGATGCCCTTGTTATTGAGGTAAGTAAGGGAAGCAACAAATTGCAGCGCTGTAAACTTTCATGCATGTCACAAGAGACAAGCAAGGAAGACTGGTGTGAGATTTGCTATCCTACACTGCAGAAAACTTCAGCTGCAAGATAAACCAATTATGTGAACAAATTTACTGAGACATTGGCATAAGTTGGTTAAGGTCCAGTATTTCACTAAGACATATCCCTGTGGTAGATTCTAGACCCCAGTTTTTAGTTTAAAAAAATAAAAAATAGGCCCAATACCACCTCTAACAAGCATCTCATAAGAGGTGTCTAATTAGCGAATTTCTTAAAATGAATGTGTTTGGCTGAGAGGCACAGATATAGCCTAGCTGTAAACCACAATACAAAATGCTGCCCGCCTGTTTAAGGGTAAACTCAGATGAAGAACTAGGAAAAGAAAGGCAGAAGAGAAAGTAAGAATCACGTACAAATATAAGGTTAACTCGTTCAGCCCCAAAGAAGGCACCATGTATGTAGCAGTCAACAGGGGTTAGATATTTGTACATCTCTCAAGTTTAGACAGGCAAACTAAATCAATCCAGCAACACGTCACCCACAATGAAACTGTATATTTGGACTCTTTTGGTGTGGTAAAGCAACACTTTTGTTGGCACCAGCTATGATTTTCTAGCACCACAAGAGTTTAAGAATAAAGCCGAGAGGATCGACTTCATTGCACTGGGTTTTATTCTATAAGGCTCTCTCTCTCTCTCTCTGCAGAATGGCTAGCTGCCTTTAAGTATTGCACAGAGAACAAATCCCAAAGCTCCAGTAATGATCATCAGGGATCTTCATTAAAAATTACACCCATGAACCAAACAACGCAGCTGTGAAATGAACCCATGACCTTCAGAACACAAGGCAAGTGGCTTGACGTCACCATGGGGGAACCCCTGCACAGATATGTGGCTGAGTTATCATTAAAAGCAGACTTTTGGAATGTTAGCATGTGGCCACTGAAGTCATCTAAAATTACCTCCAATTTTTAAATTCCACTTACAATTGCTTCAGTGCCTGGGATTCTACAAGTCCAGGAGGGAAAAATGTTTTTTTTAAAACTATTCTGCTTTTTTCCACTGCAACTTTTCTACAGGTTGCATCTTTTAGTTGTAAATTGATCAGAATCTATAGGCATGAAATTACTTTTTCATTCATTTCATCAGATTTATCTTTCTAAAATTAAGTTCGTTTTCAGCACATGCATTAGGAGTCACTCCATTTATACAAGATCCAACAATTAAGTAACGAGACTGATTTTATTATGGCCAAGACAAAAATGCCATCTATGAAACAAAACATGGAATCCAAAAAGGGAACCTTCGTCTATGATCCGGCAACTTTTTATCACCGCCCGAGAAGCAGATAACAAACAAGCCGCAATTTTGTTGGCCTAGTCAGAAGTACATTATTACGTAATCAGCATTGAGCAAAAAACTAACAATAAATTATGTTTAAAACTCAGAAAAGGCGCCGTTGAAATATTTGACTGATGTGACAAGTTTATGGGGATAATTGTTCATCTCGTGCACAGATTTTCAGGTGTTATTCACGATCCAAAAGTGCTATGGAAATGATTACTAACGCAACTAGACCTGGACGCCCAATTTCCGTTTGAAATGACGAGCAAATTGCAAAAGTCATAGATCAGATACAAGAAGATCACTGTTTTACTGTCAGGATGATGAAAGATAAATCTGGTGTTAATAGAGAGACTATTCGTAAAATTTTAGTGCAAGATTTTGGCAAGAAAAAAGTTGCTTGCTGGTTTGTACAGCATTTGTTGTCTGATTGTCAAAAACATCAGTGGGTTTAGTACCCAAGAGACATCATCAAAAGAGGAATTTTTGGCCCCAAAACAAGTGTGTGTTCTCAACCATTCACTCTATTCCCCAGATTTGTCTCCCTGTGATTACTTTCTATTTCCAAAATTAAAGTTACCATTGAAAGGACTCTTTTTTGACAATATCCATGACATCCAAAGGGTCATAACATCGACTTTAAGGGCCATAGCAACAGAAGAAATATAGAGGTAATTCCAGTGTTTGTTAGATCGTGCTACTCACTATTAATGCACAAGGGGCTTACTTTGAATAAAATACAGGTTATATCTTCAACTGGATTATTTTAATTTTTATAGAATTAGTCGCATTAATTGTTGGACCTGGTATAATACATTAGCTTGCCTGTCAATGTTTAAGTGTTTTCTTAACACATTAGCTTTCCTGCTAATGTTTCACAGGTTTTCTCAAAATTGTCTGTTAATGTTTTAGTGGTTTTCTTAATAGAATAGCTTGCTTGTAAATGTTTCAGTGGTTTTCTCAATACATTAGCTTGTCTGTTATGTTTCAATGGTTTTCTCAATACATGAGCTTGTCTATTAATGTTTTAGATGTTAGCCAAAACATTAGCTTGTCTATTAATGTTTCAGTGGTTTTTTCAATAGAATAGCTTGCCTGTTAATTTTTCAGTGGTTTTCTCAATACATTAACTTGCCTGTTAATGTTTCAGTGGTTTTCTCAATACATTAGCTTGCCTGTTAATGTTTTAGTGGTTTTTCTCATTATATTTAAATACAGCAATGGAACGCTTCTGAACAACTGACAAACTAACAAATTCACACTCAGTAAAAAGCATGATCTTTCAAAACATATTTCATGATGAAAATGTGAGTGCCTTCTGGATTCCAACTATTATTATCATAATCAAAAGGATTTCATAAGGTTCTTAGCAAATAATGGTGTCTGTGCCATCTCCACAATGAAGGTCAGCTAAAGTGTACCACTGTTGTCTTTGGGAATATTACATAGTGAGGACACCCATCTTTTCAATGGTGTGACTCTCATGCCATTTTCTGAAAACCAGAGAAGGATTGTTTTAACCATCTACCATATGGAACGAACCCCAGTACGCAAGAATCAGTAAACTGTTAACCACATTCACTAACCCCTCAGCAAGGGAGCTGCATTTAGATTGTTAGAAGATACATGTCAATCAATTTTTGTTAAACGACTTCAACTCCCAGGATGACCCAGCCTTAAATGAGTACCAGGTAAAGTCCTGAGAAGTAAAGGCAGTCAGTGTAATGTTGACCATATTACCCATCAAGTTCTGATTGGTTTATTAAACATTGGTCTTACCCTATATAGCCAATATGCCTAAAAGCATGAACAAGGGTGCTTTTTTTTTAGGCGCACACGCCATCTAGAGGTGACAGGTTCAATTCCCAGCACAGTAACTATAGCTTTCGATTTTTATGTTGTCTAGTTATTAATATATATATTTTTTTAAATTTTGACATTTCAGTCATATATGCATAATTTCAACTGTAATTAGTGAATCTTAAACACTTATTTTACTGATGTTTTACAAATGGGAATTTTCACTTCTTTGCCTGGATCTGAAGAATTATCAACATTCTAGCCAAGAAATAAAAGAGACTATGCCAGAAAGAGAGGATTCAGACCACCCCCCCCCCCCCCCCCCCCCCCCAAAAAAAAAAAACTTTCCAAATGCACTAAATCTGAGATTAAATCTATCATGCAGGAGAAATATCAAAGAACAGTAAATTAATTTCAGCACCAATTTAAGTTACATTCAGAGATGGATGGTGATTTCAGGGATGACATGGGAGGATTCTCATATGTGGAGCAAGACATTTTCTATATTTTTGTGTTTTTCAGATGCTACTATCTTAAAATAATATGCTGAAATAAATGTCTGAAAAAGTCTGGCTCTTAAATTATTTCCTTAAGGTCATTGGTTAATTCATCATTTACCATAGACTAGTAGACTCTTCAAGTATGGCAAACTAGAATGTTACTGAAGCCAAAACTTAGAGCCAACATTTCAAGCAATTGCGATGAATACAAGAACTGAAGGTTGATATTTCCAACTGTTTTTGGTCAGAGCTAATACAAGGTCCGACAATTAAGTAATAAGACTAATTCCATAAAAATTAAAATAATCAACAGTTGACTATATAACCTGTATCTGATTCAAAGTAAGCCCCTTGTGCATCCATACAGCAAGTGGCATGATCTAACAAACATTAGAATGACCTCTGTAGTTCTTCTGTTGTTATGGTCCTTAAAGTCGATGTTACAGCCCTTTGGATGTCATCAGTATCATTAAAGAAGCGTCCTTTCAACAGTAACTTTAATTTTGGGAATAGAAAATAATCACAGGGAGACAAGTCTGGGGAATAGGGGGGAAGGCTGAGAACATACACTTGTTTTGGGGCCAACAATTCTTGTTTTGATGATTTCTCTTGGCTACTCACCCAGCTGATGTTTTTGGTCATCAGACAATGAATGTGGTACAAACCAGCAAGCAACTTTTTGGGGACCAAAATCTTTTCCTATAAAACACATGGTAGCCTGTGGTATCTGAGACAAGAAATCAAATCTGACTCTTCCAATAAGACACTTGGTAGCCTGTGGTACACGAGATGTTCCCCTAACAAAATTCTAATCAAATCTGACTTTTTCCCATCAGAAACCTGGTAGTCTGTAGCACATAAAACAAGAAATCAAATCTTACTTTTTCTAAAGGACACCTGGTAGTTTGTAGCACATAAAACAAAAAGTCAAATCTTACTTTTTCTAAAGGACACCTGGTAGTTTGTAGCACATAAAACAAAAAGTCAAATCTTACTTTTTCTATAAGACACCTGGTAATCTGTAGCACATAAAACAAGAAATCAAATCTTACTTTTTCTAAAGGACACCTGGTAGTCAGTAGCACATAAAACAAGAAATCAAATCTTACTTTTTCTAAAGGACACCTGGTAGTCTGTAGCACATAAAACAAAAAGTCAAATCTTACTTTTTCTAAAGGACACCTGGTAGTTTGTAGCACATAAAACAAAAAGTCAAATCTTACTTTTTCTAAAGGACACCTGGTAGTTTGTAGCACATAAAACAAAAAGTCAAATCTTACTTTTTCTATAAGACACCTGGTAATCTGTAGCACATAAAACAAGAAATCAAATCTTACTTTTTCTAAAGGACACCTGGTAGTCTGTAGCACATAAAACAAAAAGTCAAATCTTACTTTTTCTAAAGGACACCTGGTAGTTTGTAGCACATAAAACAAAAAGTCAAATCTTACTTTTTCTATAAGACACCTGGTAGCCTGTAGCACATAAAACAAGAAATCAAATCTTACTTTTTCTATAAGACACCTGGTAGCCTGTAGCACGTAAAACAAGAAATCAAATCTTACTTTTTCTATAAGACACCTGATATCCTGTGATGATCCCATTCTGTTCCTTGGGTTTCTGCCACTGGATCAAGAAATGATGAGATCCTCTGTACAAAGCCTCCAGGTACTCTACCTCTCCAGGAACTGAAAACAGAAAAAGAACATGCAGGAGTGTTTGAAAAAGTGGCACAGAAGATGACAAATTGGGGAACAGGTCAAGACAATTACAGGTCAAGGTCCCTTTACATGCCAGTGGTGCCTCAGGTCAAGAAGATTACAGGTCAAGAAGATTACAGGTCAAGGTCTCTTTACATGCCAGTGGTGCATCAGGTCAAGAAGATTACAGGTCAAGTTCCCTTTACATGCCAGTGGTGCATCAGGTCAAGAAGATTACAGGTCAAGGTCCCTTTACATGCCAGTGGTGCATCAGGTCAAGAAGATTACAGGTCAAGTTCCCTTTACATGCCAGTGGTGCATCAGGTCAAGAAGATTACAGGTCAAGTTCCCTTTACATGCCAGTGGTGCATCAGGTCAAGAAGATTACAGGTCAAGGTCTCTTTACATGCCAGTGGTGCCTCAGGTCAAGAAGATTACAGGTCAAGAAGATTACAGGTCAAGGTCTCTTTACATGCCAGTGGTGCATCAGGTCAAGAAGATTACAGGTCAAGAAGATTACAGGTCAAGGTCTCTTTACATGCCAGTGGTGCATCAGGTCAAGAAGATTACAGGTCAAGTTCCCTTTACATGCCAGTGGTGCATCAGGTCAAGAAGATTACAGGTCAAGGTCCCTTTACATGCCAGTGGTGCATCAGGTCAAGAAGATTACAGGTCAAGGTCTCTTTACATGCCAGTGGTGCATCAGGTCAAGAAGATTACAGGTCAAGGTCTCTTTACATTCCAGTGGTGCATCGGGTATATTAGGCTAGACCTAAATCTGTATAGGCCATTTGACCATCAGTTGGTGATGTGGTCAACATATTGCTGACCGCCTTTAATTCCTCGGACTTATTGTGTGTTTGAGGCTGGGTAGACCTGAGAGTCAAAGTCATGTTTTAAAAGATCAAGTACCATATGGATTTGAACCTATGGCCTTCAGATATGCAGGCGAGTGTCTAGCCACTAAACTATTGTGGTTTCCTAGATCAAGAAGATTACTAGAGGTTCTGGCAGATGCTCGAGGCTCAGAAGAAAGGCAAGATGGACGTTTATTCATAATGCTACTGGCACCATTAGTATTGGAACTCTTCACTGGCTGCTGAAGATGGGGATGGAGCACTTATGGGAATGCCTCGAGTGCTGTGATGTCATTTCTTGAATCAACTCAACTCAACTCAAGAAGGTTACGGACCCATATTTTGAAAGAAAGTAATGGCCTGTGTATCATGGTGGATTGTTAATAAAAATCTTGGCTCCCAGGTAGACCACCTTGCCTGAAATGGGTACAAGCAAGTTTTTTTTCTTCTGGTGTACCACCAATACCGGCTCTTTTTTAAAGGCATTCTTGCTTACTTCACTATTACTGTAATAGACACTTTTGGTGAGTACTGACACATTGTTTTGAAACCATATACCTAAATGTGTCTGAGACAATACATTTGTCTCTCTCCAAAATGGTTAAACACAGAGTTAGTATTACAAGGGATGCCTTTTGAAACCATATACCTAAATGTGTCTGAGACAATACATTTTCTCTCTCCAAAATGGTTAAACACAGAGTTAGTATTACAAGGGATGCCTTGGGTGCACTTAGGAGCAATGACTGAAGATACGACAGAGGCGGTTACAAAGATGAAATAGAGGACTGGATATTAAATATAGAGTTTTAGTTTTAGGCCTACATAGAGGGCAGCGGTGGAGACAAAGATGAAATAGAGGACTGGATATTAAATATAGAGTTTTAGTTAGACCCCTAATTCCACCAGGCCTACATGTAGGGCAGCGATGGAGACAAAGATGATGTAGAGGACGGGAGAATAAGACTTTCTTTCACTATCACATGTGAAGCCGGGCAATTAAATGTAATTTTTTATAAAAGGTCCCTTTATATTTAGGGATCTCTAGTTGGTCATGCATCTTAATATATTTGTTTCTGCAGCAAGGCACTCTCATCATTTGAATGTGACAGGCTTCATCCCAGCGTGGACACTGTAGCTTTTGATTTTTATATTTTCTAGTGTATTCTTTTATCTTTCTACTTCTTTCTCTGAGTGCTAATTAATGCATGATTGTTTGTTTAATACCTGCACTGTTTAAAGGTTTGAGGTGGGGGGGGGGGGGGGGAAGAATTTTTTTTTTTTAAGTCAAGAGGATGACTTCATTATTTCAGGTTTGATCCCATATGGCTCTGAAGAATGGCTATCCAACTGCCAAGACCGTCACACAAAGCATAAACACCATAGCTCCTGCAATGATCCCTAGGGATCTTCATAAAATTTGCACCTGCGAACTGAATGACGCAGCTGCAAAATGAACCTAACCATTAGAGAGTGGGGGAAAACTGCTTGACCACTTTGCCACGGAGATCCCTCAGGCTGCAAGAGTCTCGATCTGTCTATTTCTTAGCAGATTAAGGAAGCTAGTGCAGTGATGACCTTATCTCCCACTGAATGCTAGTTGATCTATAAAACAATGGCTTCTTCTTCTTTTTCTTCTTCTGTACATCCTCTTTTACCGCTTTGGGTGTTGAGGGAGATTTTAAGTCCTGCTTTGTTTTCTTCTAGCTGCTTCAACCATAGACACATCGTGGTGCTGTAGAGTTTCTCTGATGTTATCTTTCTAGGTGCTCTTGGTCTACCTCTTGCTCTACATCCCTCTCCTCTTTTGGTATAGAACTTGTATGGTACAGTTTCAGAAAGCATTCTATCAAAGTGGACAAACCATATGATTTGCTGTTTTTGTACGCAATTTAGAATTGGTTCTGTGCCGACTTTATCTCGCATCGTATGACCTTATTCCTAATTTTATCTCTTCTGCGCACTCCCACTGCCTTTCTCAGACACCTCATTTCCATTGTTACTAATTTTCATTTATGTTTTGTTGTCAGTGACCATGTCTGGCACTTACAGCATAGGGAGGGAATGAATATGCTTTGTATGAGATGTGTGCTGGTTGGCACTGCCAATCTGTCCCAGTACTTGGCCTGCTTTACTGCATTGGATGTCAATTTCTTCGTCTAATTTACTATCTTCAGTGAATGTTGTTCCAAGATATATTTAAACTCAGATGCCTGTTTAATATATGTACGACTATGACTTCAACTATAAATATCGGATGCATGGCTGGCAGGAAAATAGTTATTTACTTTTACTTATGTGATGGCCTGTGCCGCTGAGCATGGCACATGATGATGAGGAAGATGATGATGTACAAGTAAATGTGTTTGTCCCTACCTCCTTCAGGGGTGGAGAAATTGACAACATTGCTGCCATTGGACTCAAAGTTCTTATTAATCACAACAACATCTGCCTCCACATCAGCATACGAAGGTAGGTTGATCACCGCTCCTCTGACTTTGTTATCTTCACCAACATCCCTGCGACCACGCTGACCATCGGCAGAGCTGGCTTGTACTATGTGCTCACGCAGGGTTGTGTCTCTTTCTCCAGCCTTCCAGTAGCGGATCTGAGAGTAAGAACACCAAGCTTCTACAGGTTAACAAATCAAAGAGACTGCAGTACCAAATGACAATATTACATGAAACAAAAAGGTATAGTAAGATCATATGGAGCAACAATGAGCACGTACACATGTACATCCTTTACAAGAACCTCAGGCCTGTTTAATAGAAATTGCAGACAGGATAAACTAACTATAAATCACACTTATTACTAAATAGGAAAAATCTATGACAAAGAATAAAAAGTACAAAAATAATAATTATATTTATAATTATATTATTAATAATAAATTTTTAAACTGGTAAAAACAAACAAATAATAATATTCAACACACATCAAACATTTTAGTTTTAAATATTTTTGTTCAGCCATCAGAATGTTGAATGTTGAATTAAGAATCAACATCACTGCACTCTGGACACCGCCATAAGCGTTCCATCCCCATCTTCAGCAGTGAAGAGTTAAAATTGCAATGGTACTAGTAACTGTTTAAATGTATATCTGTCTCGCCTTTTCCCTGAGTGTCGAGCGTCGGCCAGATCCCCTTGTAACTCCTAGTATGCCATTCTCCTCAGACTGTAATCAGCCATCAGAAACATAATGAATATTTATATATTATATATATCCACATTTTGTAGCATGTTTAAATCAAACAGACTACAATAATACATTATAATACATTGTATGTTTGCCTAATACTCATGGATCACATTTAATCACACATGGCATGTCTTGAGACAGAAAATAGTGAGCTGTTTTGGCTCTACTTCTTGAATCGCCCTCACATCAAAATATCTTCTCTTACATTTCAGATTTGGTCACAGTAAATAAAGCAAATATGCCTTTCCTTTACCACAGTATGCATAGTTTGTCTGAAAACAGCGCAACAGATTTATTATTGTTTGTTCAGTCTTTTTTGGTTTGTAAATGAACAGGCAGATAGACTGGCTGGTATTGCACAAGAGAATGGCGATTGGATGTATGACTAGCTAGATGTGGTCAAGGCTTGTTGGGAGCAAATGAAGAATGTGGAAGAACAAACAGATCATTACGGGATGGAGAGAATGATGCAGTTGGGAGTGACCAGAGGATCTGACTGACACTTCGTATGTTCTGAGAAAAGGTTAGTTGCATATCCTTTACAGGACCTTGCAGAACCAACGGTTTTTCTAGGCAAATTTATGTCCAGTAGTTTGCCATTGCTTTCTGGATGGTCAGCTTTCTTGATACCACTATCGAAACCAATGCAAGGCGCATGGCCTGCACCTGCGATCGAACCCGGCATCCCAGCATTACAAAGCGTTCGCATCAATTTAGCCACAGAGCCAACTTCTGAGAAAAGGCAAGTCAGAAATAACAAAACTTATATCATTGGATTTAGAACTCTAAACTGGCTACTGAAGATATGGACAGACTGAAGATGGGAACAGATCCCTACAGGAATGTATTGAGGGCTATGATGTCAGTGCTTGACTAAATTAAACTCTTCCCTTTGCTTACATACATGATGCAAAATCTGTTGGTCCTGCAAGAATGAATGCTACACTGATCTGGCCACAAACATGCCATTAAATCAGAAGCAGCCAACTCACCTTATATCCTGAAAACTCCCCCCTGATCAGGTCTCCATGGGTATCAACCGGATCCCATCTAAACCCAGCACTGGTTACTGTCACATTCACATCTGGGTCAAGCTCAAAATTTTCAGGTACCACAATTGGAGCTGAATGAAAAGAGTCAAAATACAGAACTTTATTTCAAAGCTTGTGCATATTTGCAGGTGGTGCTAACCATGTAAGTTATAGACTAACTGCCATTTACTGTGTTCATCATCATCATGTGCCCCACCAACTGGTATAGGCTCTCATGCATCTCCACAGAACACGATCCCTGCTTGCCTGGAACAGCTTGCTTGATGATATCCCTCCATGCCATTGTTTAAGCCCATCCAGCATCTTCTCTTTTGGTCTGCTTCTACCCCTCTTTCCACTGCTCTTTACAGTTGTCATGATGTTTTCCAATGCCTCTCTTCTCATTACCTAGCCAAAGAACAGTGTTTGTCTCCTTTTTATTGTTGTATATAGATCTACTTTCGTTAGCTTCTTTTTAACAATCGTTGTTAGTTAGTTAATCTGGCCGTCCAAAATATTCATAACATTCATCTCAGAAAGGACATCACTGTTGCTTCTAAATTCCTCTTAATTTGTTCACTGACATTCCAAGATTCACTGCCTTACAGCAGAACAGGTTCAATGTAATATTTTAGCCCTCTATTTACTGTGTTACCGAATCAATATCACTGCAGCCAGAACATTTTCTTCAATACATTTACACCGGGTTGAATTGGAAATTAAAAGTCCACTGCTATAAAAGTCTAACATGCATAAGAAGCAAAGCCCTAATTTTGTGTAGGTAATCAAAACTCCAGATCTGCAGGCTGCCTTCTGCTAGCTTCTAAAGGTACAGTCCGTGACGAGTGAGAGTCCTCTTAAATGGAAATGAGATTAAACAGTCACGAGCAGGATGTGATAAATCTGTGGGTGAACACAGTACCTAGGTAACATGTATTGGTTCTGCATTTATAGAAGCCTCCATGTATGGTGGAGAATGCTCATGTTGTGCCCATGGATTTTTCAAAGTACTGACCAGCGTTACATGCTTGCTCTAGACCGGCCTAATAGGTAATCACCTAGGGACTGGGAAACAAAGATGACCACACAACAATGAGACCAATCAGGAAGGCTAACCGGGACCATAAGTAAGATATGTTAGCCAAATGGTGCAAATATTGCAGCCATTTTGTAAACAGGCACAAAACATTTAGATCCTTGGAAAAAAAAGAAGAATCAGAAACCTGGCTTAGTTAAATCCATTGCGGGTTTGCTAGAACTGCCGTAGTCTTTAATGTTAACTCTATTCCATCTCAGTTATTACTATAGCTTTTTTTTTGTTTGTTCAAAGATGTATTTTTTTTTTCAATTCCAAAAAGACAATATAGCTGTTGCTCTAAGATACAAAAACTTTAGGATGGACATAACTGAAGTAAAAACTACCTAGTACTGATAGTTTAAAATAAAAAAAAATTGATGATCAGGACCTTTTTCTTGTAAAGAAGTGCTAGTGCTCAAAGTTTATAAAAACAAAATTCAAGCACTCACCACAAAATGTGTCTTATAAAGGTGCCCGCAATCATCAAATAATGATTATTACAGTAGTGCTAAAAAAATTATGTCTTAAAAAATGTAAACAAAATTGCTGGTATTACAAAGCTCTAGTTATAACTCATCAGAAGTTGCCCCTAACACAGCCCATCAATAAGAATTGTGGCTCCATGACAGTTTCTCTTCCTCAAGCATTTTCATGACTAAACTGCCTCCAACATCCAGGGTCTTGCTTACGGTGCCTGACATCCACCCCCTCTCCCAAGTAGATCAGTGCTTCCCATTTAGTGGTCCGTGAAACAAAGAGAACCGGGATATCATTTAGCAAAAAACACCCTCAATTTAGAAAGCATTTCTTTTGCTATTCTAGTGTTATAATAAGTTATTTAGGATGACTATTATAAAGTATGGGGGTCTATGGCAGTACAGTGCAGAATAGTTAAGGTGACTTCAGATGTGATGAACATCTGTTGTGAAAAAAATTTGTTTTTCTTGCTTGAACTCTTATCTGAAAAAGATAAATTTCTGACAAGAAGAAATATTTCTTGGGTTCCCGGTGATTTGATAAGAAGAAATATTTCTTGGGTTCCTGGTAAATTATCCTTATCAGGTCTTTACTATTTTCAAAAATAAAAGGAGTCGGCAGGTCTTAAGGTAACTAGGGATCACTTCAGTAGTTCACCTCGCAGATATGAATGAATGGGGATTTTATTTATTAAACATGGTCCCAGAATGTCAGGAAAGTTTGACGCATGATACACTAATTGGTACAAGTGAAGACAAGTGAATTATGATTGGTGAATTGATTAATATACATACAAAGTAGCCAAACATCTATGAAATCTTGTTTTGAATATATGAAGACATCTAGTTTTCTATACATATATGAAGATCAACCAATCACACATGGCATTTTGTTTTGTATATATGATCAACCAATCACAACATGTGACATCTTGTTTTGTATATATGAAAATCAACCAATCACACAAAATTTGTCAAGTAGAGCACATAAAGAATGGCCAACCCCACATGATACTTCATTGGTACAGTGAAAACTATAAAACCATGTATGGCATATTATTGAAAATTAAAGTATAGCTAAAAAGGCAAGTATTGCTTCAAGCAGAAAGCATAAACGGCATGAGTGAGAGAACTATCATCTTTACTGAGGCAGAAAACGTCACCAAATGTGGTTAACGTGATTAATACAGATGTCTATGTAGATAACATTTCAAATTACATCTGATATTTTAAAAATGCTTTTTGCATGAGATAAACACCCCAAAACAAAAAATTATTTTTGGAAAAAAAAGGATTTGAAGGATAAGCTGGAACCAGAAACTTACGAGCTTCTCCAGAATAGCCAGTTACCGTCAATGGGTTGCTCATTGCCTTGCCAATTTGGTTTACAGCTCTCACTTTAATAAGATAGGGTCTGAAAAAACAAATAAGGTGAAATAGCATACTTTTGTTTAATAGTTCAATAAATTACTGAAAATAAATAACTGCCATAACTCTACAATATGGTTTTAAGTTATGAACAATTTCATGACAAAGCACTCAGGGCAAACTAAACTGGTTTTGTCTCCTTGAGTGAGGGAGCCACCATGGTGTGGTGGCTAGACACCCACCTGCAGATCTGAAGGTCATGAGTTTAATTCCGAATAGAGCCAGACTTTTTTTTTTTTCAAAAATTACCATGGCTTCCAGGTCAACAATAATAAACTACTGAAAATAAAATTGCTGGATAAAACCCCTCACAGCCAACAAATTGCGGGGTTGGTTTGTGAGGTACCGTAAAATATGCAGCTAACTTTTAGAAACTGTAGTTTTATGATCATTGATGCTTGTTCCATGTTTAGCTTCCAGGGCACTGTTTGGGAGAACAAAGAATAGACCAACTGCCCCTAACAAGCAGGACATTGGAGACGACTAATTATGGGTGTTTTTTCAAAGCCACAGTTAGAGGTTTTGAATAACGGATCAACATCATGGCAAACGGGTAGTAACCCATAAATGCTCCGTTTTTTTCTTCTAACTCAAGTCTGAGTCTAAAGAAGCTCAGCACAGTGCACAGGCTCTGTTGCACTGGCAAGGATCCTTAAATACTTTGGGTAGATTTTTAACTACAAATTTTGCCCGGGCAGTGCCTTTAGGCTACTCTTTTCGATTTCCAACTGCCAAGGGATTTTTTAAATGTTTTACATGTGCAACAACAATGCACACGGGTGTCCGATCTCACTACCCAGAGACCAGGTGAAATACTAAAAGTCCAAGTCCACGTGAAAAAATCCTAGTCCTTACCAGGATTGAACCTGGAGCCTCTAGCACTCAGTGTGGACACCATGCCTCAAGACCACGCAGCTCCCCACGCAGTGCATCTGCCTGAGAGGCGAGGAACTAACAGCTTCATACTAAAAAGTCACTTCTGTAAAACAGATGAGCATGCAAAATTCAGGTTCTGGATCAAGACCAAAGTCTAGGAGTGGACGTACAACAACAAGTTTCTGCTAGAGTTTACGGATGGTGAGTGCAAGAAAGAACTGATACTTGTAGAAAAGACATTGATGACAGACCTGTAGATGTTGTCAACTGGGATCCGTTTCTCACTCAGCCTGAAGTCATCGACAACATGCGTTTGTTGGAACTCAGTGCCCTGTTCCTGGACTTCGATCTCGTAGCGAAACTTTGGTCCATTCAGATCCAGCTCTTCCATTGGCTAAAAGCAAAAATCATAAATATATTTCACTGGTTATTTTACGACACATTTAACACTTTAAGGATATGAAAAACTTCAAGGTATAGGCCAGGATATTTCTGTCTCTATGCGTTTTAATATACTGCCTCAATATAAAGTATATAAAGTATAATTAGCAAGTTGTTAAAGATTTTTGATATCATCTGTAGTTGTTTCCTGTGTGGGTTCCAGGACCAAATAAGAATAGGCCCAATGTCCCTGCCAAATCATCTGATTCTTTGCTATTACATGTAGCTCACCCCTGTCCACCCTTTAACTTCATTCTCTAGTTCCCCTATGTGTGCATTTTTAGTCTGCCTTCTTTCTTTTGACCATGTGGGTTCCAGTGCAAGGACATTTGCTCATTAGGTGATGTTGGCCAGTATTACTCTGGCCATGTTACCTGAAAACACTTTCTGGTACCAGAGAATAAAACAAACTTTTATTCAGGTTTGCCTGATCACTGACTCAATGAGTATGCTCAGAAAGACTGAGAAGGATTGGGCTCAAAAACAGCATTTGGAGTCTGGCTGACAATTATGATTTTCTTTTTTATGTGATGGGGTTTGCACATGTAAGAGAAAATGAACAAACTGAGAGGGTTGCTGGTGTGAATACAGTGTTTCTTTTTGTTTGATCCTTCTGACAAAAAATGTATACCAGGAGTCTGGTAGTCTTAATGAAAGCTATCATGCAGTCCATATTTGCCTGTGTACCATACAGCTTTGTTTTTATTGAGTCTGGAACAGGCCAGTTCTGACATTAATGAAAATATGTGTGGCACCATATTTGTGGGGAGGATTTTCCCATACTATCCTTGTGCTTCCGTCTTCAATGTGCATTTTTCCTGGGATGTGCTTCCTTAGCCCGTAACCAACCGAGGCCAGACAATCTAAGATACTATGCAAAACAGATGAGCAACAAACTGAGCTGACAGACCGAATGTCCTTAAAGGCAGGTCAATAAAGGGAACTGTCAGTGAATCATTTGACCAGACTGCAAGAACAGCATGTCCTAGGGGTGAAGACAGGCAAGAGCTCCATGCAGGAGGCCAAAGCAGAATATGAAACTAACAACATGTGAGATAAACTGAGATCTACTGAGGAGGGTATCCAAGTACTAATGAACTGCACTGAGGATGACATGTTGACTGTCAGTGAACCTGTTCATTGTTCAAACCTTGATGATGTTCAGAGGAAAGGCAAGACTGACATATAACCAGATTGTGACTGGTACCTTCAGTATTGGAACTCTGCGCTGGCTGGTCTTCATGAAGAATGGATATGATGCTAAACTTATAGGACTATATGCTTCATAAGATAGACCAGGTTTTTGTACATGATATAGATATGAAATAACTGTAATAGTGTTTACAAAAAAAAAAATATTATATAAAAACAACTATAATTGTACTTTGCAAAGAAAAAAATGTCATAAAAACAATTATCAAGATGTTTGCAAAGAATCAACATTACCATAAAATCTTTAATTACACTTAGCAAAGAATAAACATTCAATAAAAACAAATATGATGATATCTGCATAGATTACATTAAAAAAATACAAATTAAAAACTATAATGCTTTGCAAAGAATTACAGAACAAAGACATACTTTCCATCTGACCACAAGGAAGCCAGTAGAACTCTCATCCGTGTGCACATTGTCTGGGTTTTGATCAGGAACCGAGACAGGGGTCTCACACCACACACTGGTGGGCTCACTGGGCTCGCTCATCCCCATCTTGTTTACAGCCTTGACCCTGAACTTATATTTAGCATAAGGAGACAGGTTGACCTTTGCCATTAATGCAGGATAGGGCAGAGAAGTGGCAGTAATCCATACTCCTGGTTTGTACTCTGTCATGTACTCCACGATGAACTTGGTCATGGTGTCAAAGTTGCGCATCTTATCCTCAAATATCCACTTGATGGACGCCTGTTTGGCCAGGCATTCCTCCAAGGTGACGTTGAGAGGAGGGTCTGGAACAGCTGCAAGCAAAACAACATAGTGTGCGTAAGGGAACTGCAAACTCTTGAATATGGTAAATGATCTCAATTGAGAAATGAACTGAGAACTATGGAAAAAAATGTTTCAGCTGAGAGCTATAGTAAGACAGAATGTGTTAAATGTTCCCTAACTAAGAGAAGAACTAAGAATGTGATAAATGTTCCCTAACAGAGATTAACTAAGAATGTGATAAATGTTCCCTAACTGAGAGATGAACTAAGAATGTGATAAATGTTCCCTAACTGAGAGATGAACTAAGAATGTGATAAATGTTCCCTAACTGAGAGATGAACTAAGACAGAGTGTGGTAAATGTTCCCCAACTAAGAGATTAACTAAGAATGTGATAAATGTTCCCTAACTGAGAGATGAACTAAGAATGTGATAAATGTTCCCTGAGAGATGAACTAAGACAGAATGTGGTAAATGCTCCCTAACTGAGAGATGAATTAAAACAGGATGGGGTAAGTGTTCCCCAACTAAGTGATGAACTAAGAATGTGATAAATGTTCCCTAACTGAGACATGAACTAAGATAGAATGTGGTAAATTATCCTTAGCTGAGAATCGAACTAAAATAGAATGTGGTAAATGTCACATGCTGAGAAGAACATTTATCACATTCTTAGTTCATCTTTCAGTTAGGAAACATTTATCACATTCTTAGTTCATCTTTCAGTTAGGAAACATTTATGACATTCTTAGTTAATCTCCTAGTGAACTAAAACAGAATGTAGTAAATGTCCCTAGCTGAGAAATGAACTAAAATAGAATGTTGTAAATTTCCTAGCTGAGAAGTGAGCGAAGCTGAGAATTTGGGTAAATGTCCCCAACTGAAAGTGAACTAAGACATCTCAATTCACACACTGCGATCTTCCTCTTTTGATAAGTTATTTCAGGGCTTTTTTCATTTCTAGAAAGGGGGAAAATGGTGCTGGTACTCACAATAGAGTTTTTATTCTTTTTTCAGTTTTGCTCACACTTTTAAAAGGATGTTAAATTTAATTACAACATGCTGAATGCCAGTAAAAGGTGTAGGGACAGACAAAATATCTTCTGACCTTTGACTTCCAGTGCTGCTGTAGCTGTATCATTGTCCAGGCCATTCTCAGCCACACAGGTGTAGTTTGCGGTGTCCTTGCTGTTTGTCTCTGCAATTGTCAGTTCACCCCCTTGTATAGTTACCCGATCACTTGGCTGCAGCTCTTGGCCATTCTTCAACCAACGGAATCTGAAAGACATCCACAAACAAGGTTGTTAGTGCATGTTGAGTTTGAATAACGAATCAACATCGCAGCACATGGGACACTTCAGCAGCAAGTGAAGAGTTCCTATTCTGATGGTACCAGTAACCGTCTAATTGTAAATCCATCTCATCCTTCCCCTGAGTTTTGAACATCAGCCAGATCCCCCAGTAACTTCTCACAGCGCCCCTCTCCTTAGGCCGTAATGATCTGTCTGCACCTCCGCACTGTTCACTTTCTCCAAAAGGGCCCTCACAATATCTAACTTGTCATACATCAATTCACCATCAAGTGGTGCAGAGCCAGCCAGTCTATCTGCCTGCTCATTTTCAAACACACTGGCATAACATGGAGAGAATATCCAAAGGATGCTATTTACCTGGTAGGGGTGTTAGTGAAACAGCTAGTAAAAGTCAATAAGTAGAGGACATTTTAAATTCCAATGAGTTTCAGGCAAAAGATGAAAGGACTCAAATAAACAGGCTAATAACATGAATTATATTAGTGAGTTAAATATCATGATTGGACAAATAGAAATATTTCAATAATTTCAGGACTGCACATATGGAACTTTCATTATTGTCAGGATTAGATCAATAGAATTATCAGTAATGAGGATTGGACACAGGAAATTATCCCTAATGTCAAGATTAGGCAGAGGGACTTGTCACCTTTGTCAGAACTGGCATACAGAATTAATGTTCGGATTGACAGACACAATTTTTCCTATTGTCAGGATTAAACAAGGGGAACCTTATCAACACAAATCCTAAGAGACAGAAAAATCAAGAGTCTATGTTTAAAAAAATAGTATTAGAGGGACTAATAAATGTATTCTAAATAACACATGCTTGATGGACCAAAATTTTGTTTATGTAAACTGAGTGTTTGTCTTAAGTGAGTGAGTGTTAACAGGGTTTTATTGTATCAGTAATGAAGATTGAATGAAGATTGCACATTAGGAATTATGGCTCTTTTCATGACTGGACACATGCAATTATCGCTAATGTCAGGATTGGACACAGGGAATTATCACTAATGTCAGGATTGGATCAAAGGAATTCTCATTAATGTCAGGATTGATCATAGGGAATTATCACTTGTGTCATAATGAATAACAAGTAATTATCACTCATGTCAGGATTGGATCAAAGGAATTCTCATTAATGTCAGGATTGATCATAGGAAATTATCACTTGTGTCATAATGAATAACAGGGAATTATCACTAATGTCAGGATTAGAAATAAGGAATTATCACTAATGTCAGGATTAGAAATAATGAATTATTATTACATGTTTCCAAACAATCATAATCCTACCTGAGATTCTCTAATTCCATTGGATCTGTTCTAGCCATGCAGGAAAATGTGACTGTATTCATGTAGTTAACTTTCTCATCCATTGGTTGACTTTCTATTCGAGTGCGTTCTGTAAATATCAAACTATCTTCAATAAGTTTACTCTCAGCGTTAACATTTCTTGTTGCTTTAAATGTTGATCAAGTTTAAATAAATATTTACTGTTCATTAGAAATGTTTTTTGCTTTAAAATAGTCTTTTTTTTTTAAATCTGCTATTTACCTTTTTTTTTTGGTGGTGTACAAGTGGTGTTGGCACCTCTTGATCCTGTGTATTTCTGGCTGCATGGGTAGGGCAGTCACCACCAACTGTGCAGGATACATATTTTTGTTGTTGCAGAAAAACTTGTCATCACCTTACAGAGGATTTAAACTTGGGTATTCTGAATGCCTGCCAAGCCTTTTTAACTCTTTGACCAGATGAATAATACGTCATAATGACTTGCAGTTATTTTTTTTCTTCTTTTACCAAGCTTGTACTCTTATTCAACATTTATATAGACAGAATATCTAAAGAAGCAAGTTCTGATACAGAAAACATAGATCTTTATAATCATGAGGAAGTTCACATATCAGAAAAAGTCAACAATTCACCCACATTAAACAAACTACTTTTTGCTGACGACCAGTGCTCATTCTACCCTGAATAATATAGACTGCAAGACCACATTAACAGGTTAAACTCAGCATGCAGTAAATACAACATGAAGATCAATGCAAACAAAACCGAAACAATGCAAGTTAGTAGAACCCCTGGCCCAATACAATCACAGCTGAATGGTTCTGGTCTGAATCAGGCTAGAAAGTTTAAATATCTAGGAAGTATGATCACGGAAGATGGTAGAATTGACAGAGAAATAAAAACCAGATATCAGAAAGCAAGTGCACTTATATACCAATTGTCACCATTATTAAGACATCCAATCATATCTATGAGTTCAAAGAGACAGATTATAAACAGCATTTTTATTCCAACATTAAGCTACCAGTACCAAACATGGACACTGTATTTAAAGCCCATATATGCAAAATCATCACCTGCGAGATGAGATGCCTCAGTAAAGCAGGCAACCTTACCATCCAAAATCGAGTGAATAATGATACTATCAGACAGATTGTGGGAACAACATCTCGTACTAGATTCATCAAGAAACAGCAGATCAAGTGGTCTAGCCATCTCGTTAGAATGCAGTAACATCAAATACCATCACAAGCACTACATCTCAGAAGATCGGCTTCAAGAGCAAGAGGACGACTGCGGAAAAAATGGATCGACAACATTAAAGACACTCTACACCTTCACTGCATGACAAAAGCCAATGGCAGCCACCGTGTACTGGACTGCAAATTATTCCTCCCCACGACGCTAAACGGCAGAAGTGATTTATGATGATGATGATACACATACCTCTGACCATGACCTCTCCTTCAGCAGTGATGCTTCCAAACCTGTTCTCGGCCGTACATTTGTATGTGCCAGTGTCCTTCTTTTCACTTTGCTAGATGGAAACATAGAGAAACAACATCACCATGATACTTCACTTTAAAAAGTTGCTATTACACTACTGGTAAAGAAAACTATAACTCCATTAAACTGATATTATCACTGTATACCCACTCCCATACTCCCATTGCAACACAGTGGCCAGAATATGTGCCTGTTGGCCCAGTGAGGGATCAGTTAATTCTAGTACTTTCCTCATCTTGGAAGTGACAAAACAGCGATACAAATGGGTGGATAACATCAAGATATGGACCAACAGCAGTTTTACAGAGAGGGTACTTCCTGCGCGAAAGAGAGTGTGTTGAATAACTATTGCAGCAAGCCTTCATTGTGCAGACGGCAAACAACTGATTGACAAATCAAGGGCACTCTTAATTTTTTACACAAACTTTTGTGTATGAAGATACTTACAGTCTTCTTCTTAGCTTTCACCAGTGATAAACTCAGGAGGAAAGTCCTGGTTGTTCATCCACTTCTGGACTTTAGACTTGTTCCAGAACTTGAGTGTTGCATGCACATCCGTTTTACAAATTTGACTTACTGGTATGCAGTCTGTTGATTACTTGCCTCTCTAAAGAAATATCAATTCTATCTACACAGGCCAGACTGGAGGTTTGGAATCTGTTTCCAGGATGAGGGCCCTTTGGGAGCAAGTGAACAGTGCCGAGGAACAGATAGATCATTATGGTCTGAGGATTGGCACTGCGAGGAGTTACAAGGGGATGTGGCCGACGCTCGACACTCAGCAGAAAGGCGAGGCGGATATACAATTAGACAGTTCTGGTATCATAGGAATTTTAACTTTTTACTTGCTGCTGAAGATGGGGACAGGGCGCTTCTGCGGGTGTCCTGAGTGCTGTGATGTTGATTCTCAATTCAAAATTTAACATTCAACATTCCAGGATGAACCATTGCGAGGTGAAGTTAAGTCTTAATCAGCATGAGCCGTGGTGATCCAGTACGTGTTGTTCAGTATCTCTGCATCGCAAACACACTGCTGAATACTTCTTCTTCTTCGCAATCATTTGCTACAGACTCTGGCAGAAAGTTGTGGTTGTTCATCCACTTCTGGACATTAGACTTGTTTCAGGACTTGAGTGTTGTGTGCACATCAGTTTTACAAATCTGACTTATTTGTATGCAGTCTGTTGGTTACTTGCCTCCCTGGCAGATGCAATCTGACTTTGAAGGAGGTCCTAGTTTGTTGACTCCTAGAACATGCTTGTTAGGCATGCAGTGGGTCTGTTTTTGTTTTCCCCACAATTGTGTCATGGAATCAAAATGTGGAGACAGACAGAAGGTTCAAACCTCAATCAGGAGGTCTCCATGCTCCTGTATCCTGTACCGGTCATGCACCAGAGGCTGGCTGCCCTTGTACCAGACCACTCTAGGCTTGGGTTTTCCCAACACATGACATGGGATCACTAGGGTGTGATTCTCTGCAATCACCAGTTTCTCTGGTGGTGTCTGCTTAAAGCTGGGAGCCAGAGCTGGGGAAAGACACAGATACACATAGTGAATTGTTAATGTTAATGTCATTGGAATAAATAAATATCTTCTTCTTTCCTACTTTCTCTCTTTCATCTTTCTCCCCCTCTTTCTGACTGCTGCTTGCCTGAATACTTGTCTATCTGCCTGCATTTCTTTTTTTTTCTGCATTCTTTCTTTTATTTCTTTCCTCCTTCGCTTGTAAAGAAATGAAAATAAACAATGCTAATTTTGTCATCTCACCGATACCAGATAGTTGTGCTTTTCTGTATTTTTCTCGCGCTTCCCAGGTGGCTTGGGTGAGGGATTTTTTCACCTTTTTTTGAAGGTTTCAGCTACATCATTCATCCATCTCTTCCTTGGTCTTCCTCTAGTCTTCCTCCCAGATGATCTGCTATAAAAACTCTCATTTGTTTGGTCTATATGCATTTTCACTTGATGGGTGAACCACTTCATTTCTTTGAAATATAATCCAGACATAGCCTTATTTCAACTTTCTAATGCCGGGATTCATAACCTTGTCTTTTCTTGCGTTGTTAGTGACCTTGCAGGGACAGTGCATTTCACTTGTAGTTATTCTCTGTTCTAGTCTCCTATTCAATGGGACAAAAATAAAGAGAATTCCAAATACATGCTGTGGTTGGGAAAAGAGGGAGTAGAGGTGCACTAGGGAATGAATCAGGTCGACATATATTCTTTGATGTTATTCTTAGCAAATGTGAGATGAATTTTGGACATGTTACCTTCCACAGCTAGGAAGACATCTGCCCAGATACTTCCGTGGATATTGGAGGCATTGCACTGGATAACCTGAGAGTCATCTCTCTCCAGGTTTGTGAAGGTCAGGGTGCTGTCCTTGAGAACACGATTGGGGTTAGGAGGAAGTTCTGAAACAGGTAGAAATGGAAGTGTCAACACATCATTTACTGAATTTCAGTACAATAACTACTGAATTACTGAATTAACAATCAACAACATAGCACACTGGCCATGCCCTTAGATCAAAGCTATTTAATTGGCAGCCCACGGGCCAAATCCAGCCCGCAGAGGCCTAGCAAGTGGCTGTATTAATTATCTGTCTACGCTGGGGCTCAAGCCTCTGACCTGTGACAAGCTCCATTTACAAGATTTTGGCCCCTGGGTAAACTTAGTTGAATAGCCCTGCCATAGATACTCTGCCTCTCTCAGCCAATGTCTTCAGGTTTAGATGCTAACTGTTCCTCTAACACACTGATTATACACATGTAGTTCTCTTCCTTTCATATATCCCTCCTTGCCGAATCTGCTCCTATTTCCTCAATCACATGAGTGCTCCTGCAGCTACCACTTTTGTAGCCAAAAAATCTGCTCTATCATTTCCTCGCACTCCTGCATATCCCAGACAGTATACCCCTGCAAGTCTCAGTAATGTTGACGTACTGATGCTTGGTATCCACTCATATCAAATTTCTCCTTATCACTAACTACCTGGGTCCTTTCACATCAAGGTTACCTATAGGGACACTAGTGATTATCTGTCACTGTCATATGCCAACATAAACTACAGATTTTAGCATGAATGATGTCAAATAGTTGCAGTAGCATAGTGGCTAGATGCTCCTCTGTCGGACCAAATGTCCTGGCATTCAGATTTGCACTGGACAGATTACTTCTTTTCTTTTTTTTTTAGCCTTCACTGGGTTTACACTCTGGCAGAAAGTTTGCGTTGTTTATCCCTGTCTGGACTTAAGTTTTGTTCTAGAACTTGAGTTTTGCATGCACATCCATTTTATGGATATGTCTTATTTATATGCAGACTGTTGGTTGCTTGCCTTTCAGGCAGATGCACTCAGACTTCAAAGGAAACACTCCTAATTAGTTGACTTTTATGACATGCTTGTTAGCGGGTGATGGAGCTGTTCTTCTTCCCCCAGTAATGGAGCTCTGGAACCCAGAGAGAGAAGCACAAATTATGCCCAGTGGCTAAATATTCTGGATTTGAATTTGCACTAGGCACTTAACTAAATATAACCTTAGTTCCTTGGGTAATCATCAATAAACATGAACAGAGTAAAACATTATATGGGATACATCGACTGGGACCTAAAAACTTAAATATATCGGATGACTTCATCCTATGATCCCAGGACCTCTCTCACTGAGGCCTAGGAGAAAATCTGACATCACCATGGCTTGAAAAAAGCCATTTAGCTCATTGGAAAACCCCACTAAATGTTATTGTTATTTAATGTCTTCATATCCTGACTTCCTAAATGTTTGTACAGGTGCAAAGTCAGCCAATATCATTAACTATATTTCTCATAAACAGGTCGCTACAGACAAGTCTGACAACATTTTCCTGTATTGTCACACTCAACAGGCGATGTAGAGAAGAGAATCCTGTTGCTGTTAATGCAGAGGTCAACGCTCTCATCTGTGAAAATTCAGACGAAGCAGATGCAATAATCTATACAGACGGATCCGTTATACGCCAAAGAAGAAACGCATGGGCATTTACAGCACGCTCAGCGGGCAGAACAGTCAAAGAAGCCAACGGCGCCTTCTCCATGACAACCAGCAGCATGACGATGGAGGTGATGGCAGTGACACAAGCGCTTGCCTGGCTTGAAACACAAAAATACACCCGCGTGTGTATACTCAGTGATTCAATGAGTATGATCCGGAGGGTTCAGGCAGGTTCAGTGCGAAGACAATGGCTTGAATCATTACAGAAGTCCACTGTTCGTGGAGTCACCTTTATTTTTGTTCCGGGATACGCAGGCGTCAATGGAAATGAAAGAGCTGACAGGTTGGCTGGATCCGCTATCACTACCGACGGTCAGCCTATGGATCATGCTGATATTATCAATGCCCTCAGAGAAATGGGAAGAATAGAGGACTTTGGTGGCAGTGAATCCACATCACTCGCCAGAATGGCAGACTTGGGAATTAAGATCGGCACAGCAAAAAACGAGACGCACACCAGCTACGCCAGAAGACTTGTTAATCAACATAGAACTGGTACTATTAGCCATCGGACGTTGGGGTTCATACTGAGGGGAGGATCTGAGCACCTATGGACATGTCCGGAGTGCAATGAGGATAACCCAACTAACTAACTAACTAAGTCTGACAAATGACATTATAGGAAATAGGATCTAACTGGAAGTGTCAGTTTTTCAGCTTCTTAGGATGAAAGGTTTAAGAAAAGTATAGCCTGGCATAATTAATAAACACAGTGACCTTTAAGGTATAGAAAGAATTAAGTCCGAATAAAGACACTCACCATCATAAGGTTTCCCGTTGATGAACCAGGAGACAGTGGGTTCAGGAAGTCCAGTGGCATCACATTCAAAACTGGCACTTTCTTCAACTCCTGCTGTGACATCCCGAGGCTGACTTTTCCATTGTGGAGCAGCTGAATAGATTATAATATGTCACACTAAATCACACAGTTGAATTATAAAGTACTATATTTAATTGCACAGCTTCACCCTGGATAGTGAAAAAAAAGTCTTATTCTCCCGTCCTCTACCTCACCTTGGTCTCCACTGCTGCCCTATATGCAGGTCTAGTGGAAATAAGGGTCAAACTAAAAGCCCATGTTTAATATTCCTTCTTCTACTTTATCTTTGTCTCCACTGCTGCTGTATCTTCAGTTATTGCCACTATTTGCACCAAAGGCACCTCCTGTAATACTAACACCAGTATTAAACAGTTTTTGAGACAGTCAAATGTACTGTCTCAGACACACATAGATATGTTGTTTCAAAGAAGATAACAGAGAAATATAACTTTTACAAACTACCTTTTCAAGTAATAGGACAAAATATTAAAGGGATAAAACTTCAGTGAAAATTTACTTTTTTTGATTGTCCCAATAAATAAAGAAGTACACAATAACCTGGACCGCCAGCGTGATTGTTAAATAAACATTGTAGTCATTATGACAAACTAAAATGTAACCTATTTTTGGTCATGGTTTTGGAAGAGTTAACACTTCATTTATAATAACACATGAAATACTGAAAGGGTTTAGGATATATAGCATAGATAACAACATCAGATTTGAAATGATGGAAAGAGTAATCAATTTAAACTCTACATGCTATAGCTCACAAAGAAGGCAGAGGTTTTTTCCTTGATGACTCATCATCCTATAGTAGGTCCTTTGCAGATCGTCACTCTCATCGCGGTCGGCCTGAAAATAACTCGGTCTCTTACCAGGTCTCCCACTTTGTGCACTTTCATATCCAAGGAGTCACTTATATCCTGTGCCCATCTTCGTGCTGGTCAGCCTCTGCCCCCTCCTTCCTGGTACCATACCTTCTGCTGTTATTATTTTCCAATCTGCCATGACGAGTGATATGACCAAAATACTTTAGCTTCAGAGACAAGATGCTGTTTATTAGCTAGTCTTTTCTTTTTCTATGTTCAGATCTTTTAGAATGTCAGTATTTCTTCTATTCTTTGTCATGGTATTCTGAGAATTGTTCTATAGTATTTCAACTCAAAGGCCATTATGTTCTCTCTTAAGGACTGGGAGATAATCCACAATGACAAATATCACTAATATTACAGCTGAATAAGAAACAAGATTAAACCTAAAATTAATGCCTAATTGATATATAAATTTTAACGTATGCTTACACTATACAGTCAACTTGAATATGCCTAACGTCTTCAGTCAGCCTGAACATGTGCCTACGTTTAATTTAAACATAATGCTTCTTTCTAAAATTTATTTAAACATATGCCTAGTTCCTAACGTAAACTTAAACATACACCCACTTTTTATAGTCAATCTCAACACATGTCTATGTCCTCATGTAAACTTTAACATACACCTACTAACTACAGTTACCTTCTGCATATGCCTACTTTCTATAGCCAAGCCAAATACATGCCTTCTTCCTAAGGCAACTTTTAATTCACATACTTTCTACAGTCAACATTTGCCTACCTTCTTAAGTCAGTTTGAACATGTCTATTTCTGAAAGTCACCCTGAGCACACCAAAAGCCTACCTTCTACAGTCAAAGTAAACACATGAGACTTGGAATCTCTTTGTCTGCCTGTACATTGGTACTGCCCAGCATCCTTAGACTGCACCTCATTGATCACCAGCTCATTGCCATCGAATGTCATCCGGTTCCTCTCCAGCTCCCCACCGGTCAGCCTTGACCAGGAAATAATGGGTTCTGGACTGAAGGGACAAGAATGAAACAAGTCATTAGCAAGATCTGTTGCTTTAATTTACAGATCACCTGGGTCATCATCATCACCATTCACCAGGTCCTTGACAGAACATTGTTCTCTTTACGGAAAGCATGAAACTCTCTTTCTCTAGACAATTCTCCAGCCTTAAGTGCTTTCATAGCAAATGCATCTTTAATGTTTTGCATCCATCTTCATAGAGGTCAGCTTCTGCCTCATTTTTTCACAAACTGCACCCTCCATCACCATCTTTCCAGGCTACATTTATGTTTAACATGGATACAATATCTCAGCTTTCAGAACAGGATGTCACTTCTCCTCAATGTTCAGATCAAGTAGGATGTCAGCGTGTTAGTAGGATGTCAGCATGTTAGTAAACATGGATACAATATCTCAGCTTTCAGAACAGGATGTCACTTCTCCTCAATGTTCAGATCAAGTAGGATGTCAGCGTGTTAGTAGGATGTCAGCATGTTAGTAGGATGTCAGCATGTTAGTAGGATGTCAGCGTGTTAGTCGGATGTCAGCGTGTTAGTAGGATGTCAGCGTGTTAGTAGGATGTCAGCGTGTTAGTCGGATGTCAGCGTGTTAGTAGGATGTCAGCATGTTAGTAGGATGTCAGCGTGTTAGTAGGATGTCAGCGTGTTAGTAGGATGTCAGCGTGTTAGTAGGATGTCAGCGTGTTAGTCGGATGTCAGCGTGTTAGTCGGATGTCAGCGTGTTAGTCGGATGTCAGCGTGTTAGTAGGATGTCAGCGTGTTAGTAGGATGTCAGCGTGTTAGTCGGATGTCAGCGTGTTAGTCGGATGTCAGCGAGTTAGTCGGATGTCAGCGTGTTAGTAGGATGTCAGCGTGTTAGTAGGATGTCAGCGTGTTAGTAGGATGTCAGCGTGTTAGTAGGATGTCAGCGTGTTAGTAGGATGTCAGCATGTTAGTAGGATGTCAGCATGTTAGTAGGATGTCAGCGTGTTAGTAGGATGTCAGCGTGTTAGTAGGATGTCAGCGTGTTAGTAGGATGTCAGCATGTTAGTAGGATGTCAGTGTGTTAGTAGGATGTCAGCGTGTTAGTCGGATGTCAGCGTGTTAGTCGGATGTCAGCGTGTTAGTAGGATGTCAGCGTGTTAGTAGGATGTCAGCGTGTTAGTAGGATGTCAGCATGTTAGTAGGATGTCAGCGAGTTAGTAGGATGTCAGCGTGGTTCTTCGTCTTGGTCTAGAGTATTCTATATATTTTTATTTAACATTTTAGTTCAAAAGCTGAAACTTTATTCTTCAAAGACTTAGTAGGAATCTACGATTCACATCCATAAACTGCCACGTGAAAGATAATTCCCTGGCTAGTCAAGTAAATAGAGCCTGAACCCTCTGACAGGGAATATCCTAGGTAAAGTTATCATCTTTCTGTTATTGCTACATAAACTGCCTAAGACAGTCCCAGTCAGCACAAAGAAGCAAGTCATACAAACACATTCATCTCCACTCAATGTTACCGGTGCCAGACATGGTCACTCACTATAAATCCCCAAAAAATGTTGAATACTGAATTAGGAATCAACATCACAGCACTCGGGACACCCCCATAAGCGCTCCGTCCCCATCTTCAACAGCAAGCAAAGAGTTATAATTCTGATGGTACCAGTAACTGTCTGATTGTATATCCGTCTCGCTTTTCCCCTGAGTGTATAATTCCAAAAAGAAAACAAGTTATCATGGAAATCAGATGTGTGAGAACAGCTGCAGGAGTGACCACAAGAGACAGAATCAGGAATGAAGTCATCAGAAAGATTTTTGTTGTTGTTGAGTTCAATATACCTGAGCATTGACATTTAAACTATATGTTCTGGCACTACTTACTATCCAGAAAATATGCATTTCATTCGTGCCCTTCTGCCCACCAACACCAAGGTTTCATTGCCGGAGTGCCACAGAAGATCCACGCCTCGATCTGAGGCTGTCGCTGTGGAGAAAATAGGGACAAGATAATAATTGGCTACCAAATTTATTTATTTTCACTGTCTTCTTTGTAAGGGAGTCACCGTGGCATAGTGGCTAGATACTCACATGCAGATCAGAAGGTCGTGGGTTTGCTGCCTGGTAGAGCCGGACTTTAAAAAACAAATGACCTTGACTCCCAGGTCGATCCAGCCTTGAGTGGGTACCAGGTGAAGTAGCCGGAAGTGAAGGTGACTGGTGTGATGCTGACCACATCACCCATCTTGTGCTGATTGGTCCATACAAATATAGGTCTAGCAATATATGCCATATATGCTTACAGGCCTGGAAAAGGGACCTTTACTTTACTGACTGTCTTCTTTGTAGTATCCATGTGTTTGCTGGAAGGTGGTGGAAGATTTGTATCTAAACTAAGTAGTACAGGGTGGTTTCTAAAGCATGCCACATAGTCTACGAGCTAATTCTGTTTTATAATCCTGGCACTCTTTTTCTTCTACCCTTTGTCTGCCATTGAAGAATAGGCTCTCAACCAGCTCTTAATATGCTGTCCTAATTTTTGCCACTCTGAGTCTTTCTTCTATTATTAATCTCAATCTCTATTTGTCTCCTCCATGTGTTTTAAGATCTAGCTCTATCTCTTGAGCCATATTGTCCAAGGAAATTATTAACGAAGAAGTTTATACAAATTTCCCAATGTGTGTGAGGTGGACCTTATGTCCTCTCAGTCTAAAATGTGTGAGTTGGACATTATGTTTTCATGGTAAAAAATGTGTAAGGTGGACATAATTGCCTCTTGGGCTAAAATGTGTGGGGTGGACATAATAGCCTCTTGGTCTAATATGTGTGAGGTGGACAATGTGTCTGCTTGGTCTAAAATGTGTGAGGTCGACATAATGACCTCTAGGTTCTCTTAGTGTGGTAAACAGGCTTGTCCCATGACCCCAGATCTATTCCGACAGTAATTTAACAACCTGTATGGTCTCCCATGCTAGACAGCTCAAGGGATAAAACTCGGACAAATAGACATACAACCTTGCTGTCTAGCAGACAGACTGGGGATGGTTTAAGGCTGGGGAAAGCAAAGCTGAAAGTATGTGCATAAACACCGGATGGCTCAAACCATAGACTAATGAATCAGTCCAACATAATTCGATTCATAATAAAATTAGTATGGCTACACTGTTATTTTGTCAGCTCTGTGGCTAAGTCGATGCGAACGCTTCATAATACCAGGATGCCGGGTTCGATCCCAGCTGTGGGCCATGCGCCTTCTGTTGATTTCGACAGTGGTATCAAGAGAGCCGACTGTCCAGGAAGCAATGCCAAACTATTGGACGTAAATTTGCCTAGAAAAACCACGCAACAGCCAGGGGCTGTTAGGGTTGGTTCTGCAACGTCCTGTAAAGGATACACAACTAACCTTAACACTGTTATTTTTATAATGTAAATTGTAACTAGGATGTTGGGCTCTCATGTGGGGAACACCAGTTTGAATCCTCTGTGTGGTGAAATAAGTAATTTTTTTGTCTGAGACTAAATAAAGACCCTAACTTGCACTGTTTACAGGTAGTGAGGTAAATACAGGATGTGAGGTAAATACAGGTTGTGAGGTAAATACAGGCAGTGAGGTAAATACAGGTAGTGAGGTAAATACAGGTAGTGAGGTAAATACAGGATGTGAGGTAAATACAGGCAGTGAGGTAAATACAGGCAGTGAGGTGAATATAGCATGTGGAGTGAATAGAGGCTGTTAGGTACATACAGGCAGTGAGGTACATACAGGTAGTGAGGTACATACAGGCAGTGAGGTGCATACAGGTAGTGAGGTACATACAGGTAGTGGGGTATATACAGACAAGGAGGTACATACAGGCAGTGAGGTAAATACAGGTGGTGAGGTACATACAGGCAGTGAGGTATATACAGGCAGTGAGGTACATACAGGCAGTGAGGTACATACAGGTGGTGAGGTACATACAGGTGGTGAGGTACATACAGGCAGTGAGGTACATACAGGTAGTGGGGTATATACAGACAATGAGTTACATACAGGCAGTGAGGTACATACAGGTAGTGGGGTATATACAGATAATGAGGTACATACAGGCAGTGAGGTAAATACAGGTAGTGAGGTACATACAGGCAGTGAGGTGCATACAGGCAGTGAGGTAAATACAAGTAGTGAGGTACATACAGGCAGTGAGGTACATACAGGTAATGAGGTACATACAGGCAGTGAGGTACATACAGGCAATGAAGAGTTAATAATGAAATGACAAAGACAAAGATGAAGACATTGACATTACAAGAAACTCACAGCCTTGAACTGTAATCTTCTTATCCTCGCCAATGTTGGTTGACCTAGTAAATAGGTTTTCCGCCTGGCAGACGTAAATCTTTCCCCCCTGTTCATCCTCCCTGCGAAGACTTGTGATGTACAAGTTACCTACAGCAAGTACAGTAAGGTAAAACAGTCAGAACCTTTCTTCCCCGAGCTGTAGTGGGTATGTCATGATAGCCCAATCATTTAATAAAACAAAACACATGAATATTACAGAGTTAAAGTTGAGAGGATTGACTTCATTGCACTGGGTTTTATCCCATGTGGCTCAGTCTCTGTCAGTGGAATGGCTAGCTACCTGCCGAGAGTTTCGCACAAATTACAAACACCATAGCTCCAGGGGACTACACATGTAAACTAAATGACGCAGCCATAAAAAGAAAAATCAACTTTCAGAATGGGAGGCAAACAGCCTGACCACTTCACTACAGAGATCCTCCTCATGGAAATTGTATATGTAATGATGCTTTTAATGTCGTTAGCACATTGGGCACTGAGTGCTATAGCAATACTATTTAGAACAATCAGCTCTTAATAGGTGGTGTGGTCAGCGTTACACAGGCTGCCTTCACTTCCCAGCACATTATCTGGTGCCCATTTTAGGTTTAGCTGACCTGGCGGCTAAAATCTGTGGAAACAAAAAATGCTCTGATGTGGATTTGACCCCGTGACAAATTGTAAATGAGTGAATATTAATTATACATGAAGTCCCCCCCCCCCTCTCTCTCTCTCTCTCTCTGTCTCTCTCTCTCTCTCTCTCTCTGTGTTTGGCATGCACATATGCACGTGTGCATGCGTTTATGCGTGCCTGCATGCGCTCGCTAACGAAAATGGTGCTGTGAGGAGTTGAAACGGAATCTGGCTGATGCTCAACACTGAAGGGAGAGGTGAGATGGATGTACAGTTGCTGGTACCATCAGAGTTGGAACTCTTTGCTTGTTGCTGAAGATGGGTATGGAGCACTTATGGGGGTGTCCCAAGTGCTGTGATGTCAATTCTTAGTTCAACATTCAACATAACCAGGCTCTTTAATTTCCTTTCAGCCTGGCATATTCCAGTGTATATCATCATCATCATCAGGTGCCTTGCCGACTGGCGTGAGTGATCATGCCTCTCCATAATCTGCGATCTCCTGCAGCATGTATCAGTTCGGGTGCCGACACACCTCAACGCCATGCAACAAGACTGTCAAGCATCTTCTCTCGTTGTCTTCCTCTATTCCTCCTTCCACAGATCTTTCCAGTGGTCACAACATGTTATATTTTCCCTCTTCTCATAACATGGCCAAAAAATGATGACTCTCCTTCTGATGTCTGTGATAAGGTGTCTTCGGGCTCCCGCCTCTTTCAAAACCTCTTGGCTGTCCAAGGTATTCTAAGCATTCTTCTGTAAAACCACATCTCTGAGGCCTCTAGAAATTGTTTGGCCTGCCTACCGATTGTTCAGGATTCACAGCCATATGTTAAAACTGGATGTATGTAGCAAGCAAGAATTCTTTGTCTAACTCTCAATGACAAGGATATATTGCACAAGATGTTTTTCATTTTATAAATGCAGTTTTTGCCTGTCCTTTTCTGTTTCTTATCTCAGTTATGCATCTTCCACCTGATGTTATCCATGTGCCCGGATACTTAAATTTCTGTACACCATCGACTTTTATTACACATTTAGGAATAATTATTTTCTTTTATACCACCATTACTTCTGTCTTCCCATTATTCAAACTAAGGCCCATTCTTCCACTTTCTAACACCACAATGTCTATCATTTCCTGTAGTTCTGTCTGACTTGTTGCTATCAAGACTGTGTCATCAGCATAACGTAAATTGTTTATACTGTGCCCACCAACCACAATTCTGGGCATACCAATTAAAGATCTGATATAGCCAGTGTATATAGCCAAGCATATTCCAGTGTATATAGCCAAGCATATTCCAGTGTATATAGCCAAGCATATTCCAGTGTATATAGCCAAGCATATTCCAGTGTATATAGCCAAGACAGTTCCTTGAGCAGGGACTTTTGGATGCTCTCAACCCATTCTAGTCAGAGTTTACCAGTTTGGGTACTGATCACATTGTTTTAGTATCCAGAAGCCATGAGTTGTTAACCCTCAGGCTTGGTTTTATAGATATCACAACCTTTCAGCCTCGATTCCATTGTAAATACCGTAAATCTGGGAGAAAATGTGGCTTTTCTGCCTACCCCCGGGAGTGAACCCGGACCACAAGGAGTTCGTCACCCGGTCACCGCGCAATCCGGTTTAGCCAACTATGCTAGACAGCTGGGCACTGATCACATATATACCTTCATAATCCATGGTAACTCTTGAATCCAGTGGAACAGAGTTGGTGCTTGCGTCTGTTTCATCCACACCATTACGTTGGGCCGAATCTTTCAAAATCCATGTAATCTTAGCCCTAGGAACACTGAAATAAACAGAAGCCAGTTATTTAGTAACATTTTATATAAAAGAAGAAAAGGTTACTGCGTGTATGTACCACATTTTTGGTGGTATAGGGAAGTGTTCTTCAACTTTTTTACACCTGCCGTCCACCAAAACTAGACAAATTATTTTTCGGCCTATAGGTTGAAGAACATTGCTTTAGGACATGGTAGCTTGAGTCTCTGGATTTATAGCTGTATGGCTAGTGCAGTCACCACGCACTGTGCAGGTCATGATGTTTACTGTTTGCCTCAGACAGGAAAACCTCCATCACCTTACTGAGAATTAAAACCTGAGGATTCTGCATGAGAGCCCAGTATTCTAACCATTTGGCCAGTTGTTCCTTTAACACTTTATGATTAGAGAAAACCGTCCCTGTGTGGCTTGTTATTTTGTAGTTGTTGTTGACATCTTTCCATATGATAGTATTGTACTGTGTTAAAGGATAGCACGGAAATCACCGGACGAAGTTCCTCCTCTACACAGAACAAAGCCTGAACAGTGCTTTATCTGTCCATCTGTTGGAGCTTCCCTTCTAGACCATATGCCAGCCAAGGCTAAGGGCCTAGTCTGCCCTGCCATAACATACAGTTTTCAGGTTGCATTTCCTCTTCCTAGGATAAGGCTAGTAACTTTCCCAATGTGCTCCTTCACTTAAAGCCATTTGCACAATGTGAGATGTCAGGTTTGGTATCTATCTATTCTGCATTAACAGAAAACTGGTACTGTTATATGGTAGCTCAGGCATAACTGACTAAGACCTGACACAATTTTATTCTGTATATAGATATAAATACTGTACAATCAACAATGAAATGGCAAAGAGGCTGGAATAATTAGATATGTGGTTTTAATGTTCATAAAAATGTTGACAGTATCAAGAGCAGAGGAAAATGTAATGGATTGGAGGGAAACATAAGCAGCAAGATCACTAACGAAAGTTTGTGTTCACCCAAACAACTGCAAGTCACACCGGATTTACATTCATAAACCTTGTTAAATACTCCTAAAACACAAAGTCAGATAACAGATGAACTTAAAATACCATGCAAATGTCAACTGCATAGACTACAACTTGGATGGTCTTGCTTTACTATACAGGAAGAGACCTGTAATGTATGCCAGAAATACTATACTATACCACTCTTTGTGGAGTGTTGGAAATATGGAAACCAAAGGAAGCCAATAATTGTCTACATAAATCTCTGTCATTACCCCATGACGACGGAAAACTTGCTGCACATAAGCAGTCTTAGAGAGCTGCTTGGCAAGGTCAATCAGTTTGTGACTAAAACTAAAATCCCTATGTAGAAGGGTAAAGATTGCCTATGCCATCTTGAAGAAATGTCCCCTAAAGATAAAACTGAGGAGAATAATCGATGATTGCACACTAAGGAAACAATATATCCACCATGTTAATGACCCAGTGTTATTAAGATTGCCTAATTATTCCTAGTATAAAATTCTATCATAATCACAACCCAAAATCAAAGCAAAATGTGAAACAATACAAATTACATTTTCGTCATATAAATAATTACATGATATATAAATTTAAAATAACAAATATATACTAAAAGAACTCAATTAACACTATATATTTGAATTATAACCCTGAGGGTTGAACAGGATATTTTGGAAAAAACAGAATTACTACTACTTCACACCTGACTGGTGTAACCATGACAGCTGCCTCAGTAATAACTTCTCTGGAGGTTGAACATAAGAAACAGAATAGGACAGGCAAAAACTGCATTTTATAAAATGCAGAGTATCTTATGCAATATATATGTAAGTCATTGAAGGTTAGAAAAAGATTTCTTGCTTGCTACATACATCCAGTTTTAATATATAGCTGTGAGTCCTGGACAATCGGTAGGCAGGCCAAACAATTTCTTGAGGCCTCAGAGATGTGGTTTTACAGAAGAATGCTTAAAATACCTTGGACAGCCAAAAAGAGCAACCAAGAGGTTTTGAAAGAGGCGGGAGCCCGAAGACAACTTATCACTGACATCAGAAGGAGACAGTCATCATTTTTCAGCCATGTTAGGAGAAGAGGCAACATGGAACATGTTGTGATCACTGGAAAGGTCTGTGGAAGGAGGGATAGAGGAAGACAACAAGAAAAGATTCTTGACAGTCTTGTTGCATGGCATGGAGGTGTGTCGGCACACAAACTGATACATGCTGCAGGAGATCGCAGATTGTGTAGAGGCATGATTGCCCACGCCAGTTGGCAAGGCACCTGATGATGATGATGATGATGGAGGTTGAACAGTGATAACTGGGGTCTGGCCTGTTGGCCTGACTTCTAGGCTGATTGTTATTTTTTTTTTTTTTTTTAAATTGTTTAAAATTTCAGGATTGTACAGTAAACATTGAGATACCAGCCTGAAGGGTACAAACCAGTTGATCGATTGATAAGACACGGAAAAAAATCATCATCATCATCATCATGATCATGTCATCACCCTCAACGTCATCAGTATATCATCACCATCAATGTCATCAGTATATCAAGATCATCAACGTCATCAATATTACCAATATCATCCTCATCATCAACATCATCATGTGCCTAGTTCACCTCACAGAATCAGAAGATTTGAGATCAGGTCTATGTTCTGACCCTGTTTACATCATGTGATCATGCAATCATGATATTTATCTGGTTTTCCCATATAATTTCTTTTCCTAATAAAATAACTGCTCACCACAAGATTAACAAATGTTTATTTTTCTCCCAACAATTGTAAACAGATCTTGACTTCTGCATCTCATTTATCTAATGAATTGATAATTGTCATCTAATTCTGGAAGGTCTGTCCTCAGAAACTATTCATTCTGCAGCCAGTAAATGTTTTCATTTTGTCTGTTCATTGTCCATACTTTGCATGCATACAACAGTAAGAAGCTATACTACACTATCATACTTATTTCTCACTATAATTCATAACTGTTATCATGATGTTCTGGTATTATATAAACATAACGTGTTTTATAAGATAACACACAAATGTAGTTTGAAAGATGAGTGTTTCGAAGGGCTGAATGCATGTGTGCCCAATTTGTAACCCTCTAAAAAAAATTTGTTCATTCATTCATTCACTTGGGATAATGTACATGATGATGAGGATGTTGATGACGATGATGATGGATGATGATGATGAAGGGAGCAATTATGAATTTAGTAAAGATTATAACAGTGCTGATAAAAATGCTGCTGACGCTTACGGCGATGATGATGATGTTGATGGCGGTTGTGGTGGTGGTGAAGAAACATCTGTATCCTCATGTAACAATTACCTTTCTGGAGGCTTGCAGTCCAGCTTGACGTATGCTCCCAGAACCCTCTTGATCTCTGTGGGCTTGTTCAAGTGAGGAAAAGGTGGCATTTTTGCCGTTGCAAGGAAGACTTTCATGGACAAAGATGTACCGCATTCATTTGTTACCTGGCAGATGGAAGAACAATTCAACAATCAAAGCCTGAAAAACTACATTTTCTTCAATTAGCACAACAACTCAAAGCTCCAATGGTATGAACAGTTTTGTTTTTTTTTAACCTTGAGAGTTGGCAAACAATACAAAGATGACAAATAAAGAAAGTGTTAAAATGTTGAATACAGCTTAAACTCTTCTTCTTCTTGGCATTCACCATCTGTAAACTCTGGTGGAAAGTTCTGGTTGTTCATCCACTTCTGGACTTTAGTCTTGTTTAAGAACTTGAGATTAGTTTGCATATCTGTTTTACATATCTGATTTATTTGTAAGCAGACTGTTGGTTCCTCGCCTCTCAGGCAGATGTGCTCCAACTTTGAAGGCAACTCCCTTTATTAGTCTAGTTTCCCCACTCACTTGTCAGGAGGGCAGTGGATCTATTCATTTTTTTCCCTCCCCAAAATGGAGTCTTGGAAACCATACAAGAAAGCTTAAACTAATTATGTGTATGAAATATGTTAATCAGCTGACTAGTTGAGAAATATCCAATGGCAGTGGATATTTTGAAGAAGATTCAAAGAAATCCACTGATTGACAGAAAAATGAATATGGTAGTTCTTCAAGGAACAGATACAGACCACATAAAGACCACAAAAAGTTCAGAGATGTATACAGTGAAGATCTTTTGGGTATATTACAATGAGGTGTACTCCTGAACAGACTGAAGAAACAATCTGAAGGAATCATAGAGGAGGAACAGACAGGGTTCCATCCCGAAAGAAGCATGGTTGAACAGATATTCAATCTATGCATACTGTCCGAGAAATACCATCTGCACCAAAAGCATCCAGACCATGTGTTCACTGATTTTTAATAAATTTTATAACATGGCATTTTTATAGAAAATTTTTTCGCTATTCTTACCCTAGAGTGTCTGCAGATGAAGGTATGCCTAATAAATTATCTATTTCATCAGCATTAAAAAAAAATAATTTTTTTTAAAGTGTTGTTGTTGGTGCTCAAACCGCTGAATGCCATCAGGAGAAAAATAGCTGCTTATAATTTTTTCCTCACCCATGTGAAATGGTACTAAAAAATAAAGACTAAGGATTTCCTTGTAACTGTTACTTCCATACTGCCAAAGAATGCCCATCAATAGTGAGTACTCACCGAGCATTGGTAGATGCCTTCATCTTCCACCACAGTTTTTATGTTCAAGGTGCCGGTGCCTGGTCCCACAGCTGCCCTTTCCAGGAAGGCTGGGTTGTTGATGTCTAGGACTTCCCCATTTTTATACCATGTGTAACTGTAAAATTAAGTAATATATTTATTTTTAAATCGTATTTAACTGTACAGTTAAGTAATATAATCATCTTGACATCAAATATAGCTTAAAAAAAGAAAAAAAAAAGAAATTTGATTTTTAACCAAGCACAACTGTAAAAACATATGATCATTTTTAACCAAGCACAACTGTACAATTAATCTGATCATTTTTACCAAGAAATACTGTAAAATTATTATGATCATTTTTAAAAAGTGCAACTATAAAATTAATATGATCATTTTTAACCAAGCACAAATGTAAAATTAATATGATAATTTTTACCAAACACAACTGTAAAATTAATCTGATCATTTTTACCAAGAAATACTGTAAAATTATTATGATCATTTGTAAAAAGTGCAACTATAAAATTAATATGATCATTTTTAACCAAGCGCAACTGTAAAATAAATATGATCATTTTTCTCACCTCAGAAAGAAGAATTTCAGTTGACCTGAGAAAGAAGACTATCAACTGACCTGAGAAAGAAGACTATCAGTTGACCTGAGAAAGAAGACTATCAGTTGACCTGAGAAAGAAGACTATCAACTGACCTGAGAAAGAAGACTATCAGTTGACCTAAGAAAGAAGACTATCAGTTGACCTTAGAAAGAAGACTATCAACTGACCTGAGAAAGAAGACTATCAGTTGACCTGAGAAAGAAGACTATCAGTTGACCTGAGAAAGAAGACTATCAACTGACCTGAGACAGAAGACTATCAACTGACCTGAGAAAGAAGACTATCAACTGACTTGAGAAAGAAGACCATCAGTTGACCTGAGAAAGAAGACTATCAGTTGACCTGAGAAAGAAGACTATCAGTTGACCTGAGAAAGAAGACTATCAGTTGACCTGAGAAAGAAGACTATCAACTGACCTGAGAAAGAAGACTATCAGTTGACCTGAGAAAGAAGACTATCAGTTGACCTGAGAAAGAAGACTATCAACTGACCTGAGAAAGAAGACCATCAGTTGACCTGAGAAAGAAGACTATCAACTCACCTGAGAAAGAAGACTATCAGTTGACCTGAGAAAGAAGACTATCAGTTGTCCTGAGAAAGAAGACTATCAGTTGACCTGAGAAAGAAGACCATCAGTTGACCTGAGAAAGAAGACTATCAACTCACCTGAGAAAGAAGACTATCAACTGACCTGAGAAAGAAGACCATCAGTTGACCTGAGAAAGAAGACTATCAACTCACCTGAGAAAGAAGACTATCAACTGACCTGAGAAAGAAGACCATCAGTTGACCTGAGACATAAGACTATCAGTTGACCTGAGAAAGAAGACTATCAACTGACCTGAGAAAGAAGACCATCAGTTGACCTAAGACAGAAGACTATCGGTTGACCTGAGAAAGAAGACTATCAACTGACCTGAGAAAGAAGACCATCAGTTGACCTGAGAAAGAAGACTATCAGTTGACCTGAGAAAGAAGACTATCAGTTGACCTGAGAAAGAAGACTATCAGTTGACCTGAGAAAGAAGACTATCAGTTGACCTGAGAAAGAAGACTATCAACTCACCTGAGAAAGAAGACTATCAACTGACCTGAGAAAGAAGACTATCAACTCACCTGAGAAAGAAGACCATCAGTTGACCTGAGACAGAAGACCATCAGTTGACCTGAGAAAGAAGACTATCAACTGACCTGAGAAAGACCTCTTTGAGTCCCAGGGGGTTTAACATCACAGGCCCAAGGGGTAGTAAATAGAGTCATAAAATCAGCACATCATGTGTTCATTGGGCTTTTAGGTAAGAACCTATGAATGTATGATGCGTTCCTTGGGACTTAAAGAGTTAAGCGAGTTGAGAAAAAGACTATCAGTTAACTTGAGAAAGAAGACTGAGAAGAAATGAGAAAGAAGATTCTACACTAAGCTGAGAAAGAAGACTCTCGACTCGTGTACATTCATACTAAAAATAGTCACTTATATCCTGCACCCATCTTCATGCTGGTTGACCCTTGGGACTCAAAGAGTTAAGCGAGTTGAGAAAAATACTATCAGTTAACTTGAGAAAGAAGACTGAGAAGAAATGAGAAAGAAGATTCTACACTAAGCTGAGAAAGAAGACTCTCGACTCGTGTACATTCATACTAAAAATAGTCACTTATATCCTGCACCCATCTTCATGCTGGTTGACCCGTGCTCCTCTTTCCTGGCAGCATGTTTCTGCTATAATTTGTTTCCCAGTCCACCATGGCTCTTGATATGAACAAAATATATTAGCTTCTGAGACAAGATGTTATTTATTAGCTAATCTACCTTGATGTTCAGATCTTTTAGGATGCTATTAATTTTTTTTCTTGTCAATGATATTCTGACAATCTGTGTTTAACATTTCAGCTCAAAAGCCCCTTTTTTTTCCTTCTTAAGGACCGGGAGACAGTCAATGACTCACGTCCGTATGTTGCTAAAGGAAAGAATCATGCTCTCATCATTTAGACTCTGGTTTCCTTGCTGGAGCTTAACTATAGATATCCATAATGACCACCAAATACTTGTTACCTGAGCTCTCCACTGCCCTTGGCTATACAAGGTATCTGCACTTCCGTGTTTTCTATGAAGTAAAGAGTGTCCACTGATGACTGCTTCTTGATGCTGGGGGGCTGGCAGTCTAGAGGGGAGTACAATTGATAATGACCATTCAAAGAAAAGCCCTGGAGACACAGTTGAAGTTTTGTGTATGGGACAAAGGCCATCACAATAAATAGTTTTAAATATTTTCTTCTCTTTGTTCTTTTTTCTTCTTTTTCTTCTTCTTCTTCTTCCTCTTTTTCTCTTCTTCTCCTTTTGCTATACTACTCGCTTCTTTGTCTTTTTCTTCTTCTGCTGTTTTTTCTTCATCATCTTTTCCTTTTTCTTCTTTTTCTTCCTCTTCTTCTTCCTGTACTACTTCTTTTATTCTTCTTCTCCTTCTGCTATACTTCTCGCTTCTTTGTCTTTTTTCTTCTTCTGCTGTTTTTTCTTCATCATCTTCTCCTTTTTCTTCTTTTTCTTCTTCTTTCCTCTTTCTTCTTTCTTCTTTCTTCTTTTTTCTTTCTTCTTCTTCTTCTTCTTCTTTCTTCTTTCTTCTTCTTCTTCTTCTTTCTTCTTTCTTCTTCTTCTTCTTCCTGTACTTCTTCTCTTCTTCTCCTTATGCTGCTACTATACTACTCGCTTCTTTGTCTTCTTCTTCCTCTGCTGTTTTTTCTTCATCGTCTTCTCCTTCTTCTTTTGCTGCTGTTGCTGCTGCTTCTTTTTCTTCTTCTGCTACTTCTTTATTTCCTCTTTTGCCGATTCGGGTGTTGAAGGAGATAAAAATTTCTATTTAGGTTGTTGTGTTCTTATGAAATATGTATACTATTTCAAGTAATAAATTAATTATCTAGAGAAAGCGTTATGGAGCGACATGTTTTAATTAATAATAATCAAAATAATACACGAAACAGAAAATAATTCTGGTTGTCATGAGTCCCCCCCCCCACACACTCCCCCTTGGATTTGCTTTATTCACATCAAACCAGTCACCTATGCATATTTATGACCAGTTGAAGAGAACAGTCGCTGATACCAAACAACAGAGAGACTTCCTGGTCCGTGACGGCAGGAAATGGTAACCTATTGGAATAGAGGCATAGGTCCAATGTTGATATGCAAGGACATTTGTGCTAAAAGGTCAACTGGTGACCCCTAACAAAGCCGGCCTCCAGTATCTGGTCATCTGGCACAGAACGGATTGAAGGGCAGACACAGTGGCAGACTAATATATAACATCATCATCATCAGGTGCCTTGCCGACTGGCGTGGGCGATTATGCCTCTCCATATTCTGCGATCTCCTGCAGCATGTATCAGTTCGTGTGCCGACACACCTGCATGCCATGCAACAAGACTGTCAAGCATCTTCTCTCATTGTCTTCCTCTGTCTCTCCTTCCACAGATCTTTCCAGTGGTCACAACATGTTCTATTTTCCCTCTCCTCATTACATGGCCGAAAAATGATGACTGTCTCCTTCTGATGTCTGTTGTCTTCCGGCTCCCGCCTCTTTCACAACCTCTTGGTTGCTCTTTTTTGGCTGCCTAAGCATTCTTCTGGCTGTTGCGTGGCTTTTCTAGGCAATTTTACGTCCAGTAGTTTGCCATTGCTTTCTTGATACCAGTCGAAACCGATGCAAGGCGCATGGCCCGCATCTGGGATCAAACCCGGCATCAGGGCATTACGAAGCGTTTGCAATAACTTAGCCACAAAGCCGATTCTTTACCAAATTACAGCCTTGAAAATGCAGTTGGAGGAAAATGGCCACAACTGCACTAGGATCGACTTTGTTGCGGTGGCAAGGAATTATGAAGATTGTGTGGACAGATGGGGGATGATAGACGGAGGGACAGCGGAATAGTTGAACACAGAAATAGCAGGATGTCAGAACAGTTGCTACTATTACGGGTAAATGAGAGAGAGAGAGAGAGAGAGAGAGAGAGAGAGAGAGAGAGAGAGAGAGAGAGAGAGACAGACAGACAGAGACAGAGAGAGGGAGAGAGAGACAGACAGACAGAGAGACAGAAAGGGGGAGGGAGAGAGAGGAGAGAGAGAGACAGAGAGAGACACAGAGAGACCTATGGCGCGGTAAGCCAAACTGCAAACCCGATCGCGTCGTCTGCCCCCTGACCAGAAGAAATGAGAGTAAAGAGATGTGCAGCTGAGTAAGTTACTGATGGCCTGGGACCATCGAGCCACCAAAAGGTCACCTGATTAAACTTAACAAAGCCTAGTAAAGACATTGGGTCATTGCCATAGGCGCCTAATGCTCTGTAGCTAGAGAGTTGGAATACGATGATACCAGTAGAAGTCTGACTATATGTGCGTCTTGCCTTTTCTCTGGGTGTAGAAAAGAGTGTCGGGTAGATAAAATGGTCTGTCCCCGCCTCACCATTCTCCCCACATGGTGATCGCGCTTTACCAATGTCCCCTTGCTCCTAACAGGTTTTGAAGACAATACTCTATGCTGCCGCACCAGCCAATCTGTCCGCCTGTTCATTTCACAACACGCCCGCATCTACTGGAGAAAATATCCAAAGGTCGTTGACCACCTGGTACTTCTCTAGACAAGATGGATGGGTAGTAAAATATAAGAAAACTAGAAAGGCAGATGATTCAAAGTAGTATGCCAGTGCCAATGCCAATGCCAATGCCAATGCCAATTGTCCAAGAAAAATTCCAAATTTGATCCTCTTTCAGCTGCCCGGAGGCCTGCTATATCGAAGAAGGGTCCTTAGCTGTCTTATATGATTTCCTTTTATTTGTGGTGTGTAGTCACACCTGATATTAGGGTTGTTTGCTTCCTTGCTGTGCTGCGGTGATAATGGTTTTGGGTTCTGGTGTGATCCAGATCTCTTTGCGGTGATATTGACGGGTACTAGCTGACTGTTGCTGGTGCTTGGCTTGCCTCGGATACATTTTCATTCATGTATATTTCCTTGAATATACATTGAAAATGAATAATATGCATAAGAGAGAGAGAGAGAGAGAGAGAGAGAGAGAGAGAGAGAGAGAGAGAGAGAGAGAGAGAGGGGGGGGAGGGAGGTAAAGGTCTAACGTTTCGAATTCAACCTATAGATCCCAGCTGCTTAACTAAACACTCAAGTGCGCATGATGCTCTCTTCCAGTCAAAATGGACGCTAAACAGGGCCACTGTTTCGAGTCGTTGCAAAGTTTTTGCTTCTGCCAGTCGGTGGCCGTTGCATTTTTGCTCCATCTGGAGACTGAAAGGATATAGTTTTGTCGCCCAGCTACTGAGTCAAGAGCATGGTGCGACCCCGTGGGCTGCGGATTTTATTTGGATTGTTTTTCCGACTGTAACCAACGTGGTTTTGTGGTGTGAATTGTCGATTCAGGAAACGGCGCGCGGCCTGTCGTCACAATATTGGTGGTGCCCTTATGTGATTAAAATTTATCGCGTGTCCAACTGCTGATTGGTTGGTTACCTCGGCTACCATCGATGATAAACTGCATTTCTAATGTCGGACTGTTGTGTTAGCACTTCTCATAGCGATCGTATATGCTGATACAGAAGTCTGTCAATCTTTCCACAAGGGACTGTGATGAACATTCTGACCCGATTGCTGAGAAGCGGAAACTAACATAACATAACATAACTGATAAGGCAAGAGAGGTTTTTTTGTGTTTTGGATGAGTTCCGCTACCGTCTAGCTGTTTGTCGAGCAGCAGACAGCGTTCATTTTGAACATATATAACCTCTGTTGTAAATTTGTATGTTTTAGACCTTCCTCACCCCTAACCTTCTCTCTCTTTCTCTCTCTCTCTCTCTCTCTCTCTCTCTCTCTCTCTCTCTCTCTCTCTCTCTCTTGTATGTACGTTATTAATACGTATTGTATATTCAAGTAAATATACATGAATAAATGTTGAATTAGGAATCGACATCATAGCACTCTGGACACTCCCATAAGCACTCTGGACACTCCCATAAGCGCTCCGTCCCCACTTCAGCAGCAAGCGAAGTGTTCCAAATCTGATGGCACCAGTAAATGTCTGGATGTATCTCCATCTCGCCTTTCCTGTGAGTGTTGAGCGTCGGCCATATCCCGTGGTAACTCCTCGCAGCGCCTTTCTCCTGGGACCGTTATGACCTACTTGTGTCTCCGCACTGTTCACTCTCTGCCAAATGACCCTCAAAACATCTAGCTAGTCACACAGAAATTCACCACCAAGTGGTGCAGAACAGGCCAGTCTATCTTCCTGCTCGTTTCTCAACACACCCTCATGACGGGGAGAAAGTATCCAAAGGACACTAACCACCCGGGATCTCTCATGTTATGCTTGCCACTTTACACAGCCTGTCTTCACCTTTGTCAACATGCTTTGTGAGCCAGTGACAATCACGACATGTGTTTACAGCTGATTCTCAAGCCAGCGGAAGGCTGCAATGACTGCCTCCACCTCCATTCTCAAACTGGATATCATATGCCAGTTTTTGCTGCATTGGGCGACTTCCACAGGCTTTTGCTTTCAACCCCCACGCACTTAGAACATATACAGGAATAAAAATGTGTTAATCATTTTGAATAACCTGGTACGATTAACAACAAGGTTTTTAAAAATATTTTTTTATGGGATTGCACAGCTTTTATCAACAACATAATTTCTGAACCAACAGAGTTCATTCGCTTTCACGGAAATATTACATTATACTGCCAGCTATCGACCAGCCATCTTCCCAACAGAAGGGCTCATTTTTTTCAATCCCCAGCGGACGTGATGTCATAACAAGATGAGCCCAGCTGGGCATAGACGAGATCTAATAAATACATTCTTGAAGACACGAGCGGAGGGGAAGAGGCGGGAATAACTATTGGGAATTACAAGGCAAGGCAAAAGGTCTAACTACATGTTTAAGTACAAAAGTAAAGTAAGGAATAGACTATTTTCCACACTTCAGGCGTATTGGGCATATAGGGCTAGACCTACATTTTATAGACCAATCAGGACTTAGTGGGTGATGTGGTCAACATTACGCCGGTCGCCTTTACTCCCCAGGATTCTACCTGGTACTCATTTAAAGCTCATCCATGTCAATACTTTTGATAATACCAAATAACGAAACAGCTAAATCACACAAAC